AATCGGCGCGGAACTTCTGCAACCGCGAATCCATGGGATGGAAGAAGGCGTCCACGCCGGCCCTTTCGCAAGACAGCGTCGAGGCAAGCAAAACACTGTCCCAAGTATGTTCAAATGCAAAAGTGTCTGCACCGACCCTTTCGCAAGACAGCGTCGAGGCGGGCAAACAACTGTCCTAAGTATGGTCAGCTGAGAAGATGAGAATAAGCTGAGAATAATCTCCACACCGGCCCTTTCGCAAGACAGCGTCAAGGCAGGCAAGGAAGCGTACTAGGTGTAGTAAGATGCTGCAATGTGTGCAAAATACTGCAACGCGTTTTCCCTTTCTTCCCCTTCTTCTGCCTTTCGAGCCAAACGAGGCAGGCAAACGTGCAAGGAGAAAGCCTTTACAGAGCAGCAAGAAACTCCGAGCCTGCAGAAGTCATCGGCCAGGCAGCCTGCGAGTCGAACGTGTGCAAGGAGAAAGCCTCTACAAAGCAGGAGGAAGCTCCGAGCCTGCAGGTCATCGACCAGGCAGCCTGCGAGTCAAACGTGTGCAAGGAGAAAGCCTCTACAAAGCAGGAAGAAGCTCCGAGCCTGCAGGTCATCGACCAGGCAGCCTGCGAGTCAAACGTGTGCAAGGAGAAAGCCTCTACAAAGCAGGAAGAAGCTCCGAGCCTGCAGGTCATCGGCCAGGCAGCGGCGCGTTGCGCCGTCGCAAGACAGCGTACGCGCCGTACAGGCGCATGAATATATGTCTATCTATCTATCTATCTATATATCTATTATCTATCTATCTATCTATCTATATATGGATAGATAGAAAGATAGAGATATATATATATATATATATATGTGCGTATATTATCGATATATGCATCTGCCAATCCCTCTGAAGGGTTGCCAATTGCACCTCGCAGAGATGCAAGTTCCTGCAATCGACCACATATATATATATATATATATATATATATGTGCGTATATTATCGATATATGCATCTGCCAATCCCTCTGAAGGGTTGCCAATTGCACCTCGCAGAGATGCAAGTTCCTGCAATCGACCACATATATATATATATATATATATATGTGCGTATATTATCGATATATGCATCTGCCAATCCCTCTGAAGGGTTGCCAATTGCACCTCGCAGAGATGCAAGTTCCTGCAATCGACCACGCCACTCCCTGTGGAGAGTTGCACGGCGGAAAGGATACAAGTAGTAGTTTGCACACACGTTTCAACCCTGGACCACGCCAATCCATGCAGAGGGTTACACGCAGCGCCCAAAGACCATGCAACAGTACCTGCACACCTTCCGATTAGAACATTCGAGGAAGCTAATCCCTCTCAATGAAGGATTGCGCGGGGCACCGCAAAATGTGTAACTTTACCTTGCGTTCGACCACTCGACCACGCCAATCCCTGTGAGGGGTTGCAAAATTCATTTCAATGCTCATCAAAAATTGCAACTTTACCTCGCGTTCGAACACTCCACTACGCCAATCCCTGTGAAAGGTTGCAAAATTCATCTCAATGCTCATCAAAAATTGCAACTTTACCTCGCGTTCAACCACTCGACCACGCCAATCCCTGTGAGGGGTTGCAAAATTCATCTCAATGCTCATCAAAAATTGCAACTTTACCTCGCGTTCGAACACTCCACCACGCCAATCCTTGTGAAGGGTTGCAAAATTCATCTCAATGCTCATCAAAAATTGCAACTTTACCTCGCGTTCGAACACTCCACCACGCCAATCCTTGTGAAGGGTTGCAAAATTCATTTCAATGCAAATCAAAAAATGCAACTTTACCTCGCGTTCGAACACCCGACCACGCCAATCCCTGTGAAGGGTTGCAAAATGCAAATCCCTGTGAAGGGTTGCAAAAAAAATTGAACTGCACCCAAACCCTGTGAAGGGTTGCGCGGCGCCCGCAAGAAGTGTAACTTTACCTCGCGTTTGAACGCCCGAGGAGGCGAATCCCTGTGAAGGGTTGCGCGGCGCCCGCAAGAAGTGTAACTTTACCTCGCGTTTGAACACCCGAGGAGGCGAATCCCTGTGAAGGGTTGCGCGGGAACCGCAAAATGTGTAACTTTACCTCGCGTTTGAACGCCCGAGAGTTCCAATCCCTGGGAAGGGTTGCGCGGTGCGCCTAAAATGTGTCACTTTACCTAGCGTTTGAACGCCCGAGGCAGCGAATCCCTGTGAAGGGTTGCGCCGGGCGCCTAAAATGTGTAACTTTACCTCGCGTTTGAACGCCCGAGGCAGCGAATCCCTGGGAAGGGTTGCGCGGGAACCCTAAAATGTGTAACTTTACCTCGCGTTTGAACGCCCGAGAGTTCCAATCCCTGGGAAGGGTTGCGCGGTGCGCCTAAAATGTGTCACTTTACCTAGCGTTTGAACGCCCGAGGAGGCGAATCCCTGTGAAGGGTTGCGCCGGGCGCCTAAAATGTGTAACTTTACCTCGCGTTTGAACGCCCGAGGAGGCGAATCCCTGTGAAGGGTTGCATTCCCGACGGACCCCGACGGTGCCACCCCCGCCTTTAAAAGAAATATTAAGATACCGAGATGTAGAGAGTAAGTCATAAGTCATAGTAAGTCATAGATGCATAGAGAGTCAGTCATAAGTAAGTAAGTATAGTAAGTATAAGTAAGCAAGTCAAGTAAGTAAGTAAGTAAGTATAGAGATAGCATAACATAGAGTCCAGTGTCAAGTGTCAAGTGTCAAGTGTCAAGTAAGTTAGTAAGTAGATTGAAGTAAGTAAGTAAGTAAGTAAGTCGTAAGCATAACATAGAGTCAAGTATCAAGTGTAGAGTCAAGTATCATAGAGTCAAGTGTCAAGTGTAGAGAGTCAGTCATAAGGGTCAAGTAAGTAAGTAAGTATCAAGTGTAGAGTCAAGTATCAAGTGTAGAGTGTAGAGTAAAGTATGGAATCAAGTAAGTTGATTCTATGTCTGTCATCTATGTACTCAGCTGCGGCGTTCCACACGGAAGAACCCTTCGCGATGCTTTCGGGAACTTTACACCCTTCATGCTACGTTTCGCCCTCAAGATTCAGAATAGCCATGGTAACAACAAACCTTCTGTACCCATAGGCTCCATAGCAGTTCCTTTTGGGGGGTGCATTTTTTGAATCCTTGTAAGGTAATCCCCGAAAAGGAACTACTATGGAGCCTATATGGGTATACCCCTGACCCGGGCCCCCGAGCCGGGCCGTTTCCCACGTGCGCTTTTGGCCCGGAATCCGCCTCGAGGGTTTAGGTTTCAAGGGCTATGCCCGCAGCCGAAAGCTTCTTCTCAAAGGAAACCCATCATCGCTAAAGTAAATCAAGACTGACCCTAAAAAGGTTTGTTTTGTTTCAGGCTGCACGTAGTTTTGGCGGTTTCGGGCTTCGTGGGCTTGCCGTTTCATGCTGAGGGCTCAGCATCTCAGAGTCTGGTGAGGTGTCCAGAGACACGCTGCCTGGAGAAGCATAGCTCGATGGAAAAGAAAGATAACAAACGACAAGGCAACTGCTACAATTCGCGTTGTCGCTAGAAAGTCTGGTCAACAAGCGTGTAGCAACTTGCTACAGACGTCATAACCTTTATCAACACAGGGCAAGGTGAAGCCCTCAACACCATGCAAAGCCCAAATGCTGTCATACTCAGCTGCATACGTGTATACACTCAGGCAATCGACATGATGAAGGTTCATGTTTTGGAATGCCACTAGTCATCATAAGCTCCGGGTCTTGAAGTCTCCCCCTGTTCGTACAAGTACCATGAAATGGATCCTACCAGCAAACACAGGAGATGCGACCCTTGCTCCATAATCAATCAGTTCATGTGATTTGCATGGACATACTCGGAAAGCTCTGGAATCTGTGATGGAAATTGCTATCTGGAGCTACTTACCGTTTTTCGATTACAGGCTTTGGGGTTGTGAAGAAAACCGATCTGGTCACCAAGACTCGTGCGTTCGATCCTGTCGGGCAGTAAGGGTCTGGATGGTCATAGAAGCCTTTCTGAAGGAAGAATACATGGTTCGTACCCGGACAACGTGAACACAAGCCCTTCGCCGCCGGCTCCTCATCATGATGTGTATCTCGATCTCCACAGAAGCCCCAAGATTACCCTCCGATACCCTGAAACCCTAAACCCTATACTGTATACCCTACAACCCTAACCCCTAAACCCTATACCCTAAACCCTTTCAGTGTGAGCCGCCTCAGAACACCGTAACTGCCCGGATCCAGGGAAGCCTCCTCCTCTAATATAGGTGCCTTAACAATTAGCCTAGGCTTTTGGGGCCCACTATACTATAGTTATAATAAGGAGCTCCCCAAAATAGTATAGAAAATTAGGCCCCTACAGTACCATACGTTGCTCCTTGAAGCTTACAAACCCTAAGCCGAGGCTCTCTTGACCACAAGATCACTAAAACAAGGGGTACCATAAATTATATGGGCTCATGACACAAGATACCATGTAACATACCATGGTGCTGCTGCCACAATCTACTTTGTTATGACTATCATGTGCTCTAATTGGGCTGGCTATCCTGACTACCTAAACCCCCAAAGTAGGTAAAATAATGGCCCAACACCCATAAAAGGCTATTAGGCTACATACTTCTGGGGTCCAGGTATAGGTAATTTTTAAAAAGGAACTATCATGTGATCCTGAACAAGGGGTGAACTTCTAAGCGGCCCACCCAAAAAGGCGGCTCAGTGTCTCCTACGACGTAAGTTCGATGGAAGCTCCCGGGCGCGGGGTTTGGTCCGCAACGTGGGCTTGAGGTTCCTTGCGGAGTAGAGTTTAGGGTTTTGGGCCTTTAGGGTTCGGGCTTGTAGGGTTTGGGGCGGTTTGGGGTTCAGGGTTTATATAGGAGTTCGGGCAGAGTTCAGGGCTTATAGGGCCTATAGGGTTTAGGGTTTCGGCTTGAGGTTCACGATAGAGACAAGGTCCGGAGGAGATGCAAGAGTTTATAATGGGCTCTTCTACTCCACGCATCTTTTGCCGCACTTTGCCGGCGTCAGGGGATGGGGACTCTTCTCGAGGTCGAAGGAGAGACGTAGTACCTGTACAAGGCTACATGGCGAGCTTCGTTGACTCGTGTGACGATCCTGCAAAGCGAACCAGAAGTAGTGTCGCATTCCACAAACTTTTTCTCAGCGTTTGAGCTCTTCTGTTGAGGTTTGAGGCTTGGCGACCAGGTGAGGGCCTTGAAATGCCCTTATAGGTTTGGCACCAGGGCTGTGTCAACAATATGTTGCCTTGACCTAGAGACCGGGGGTCTGCAAGGTCTCACGGCTCGGGCTCCCCTGGCGAGCAAGCCCTGAACCACGATGCTGCCTACATATTGGGGCCCTATACTAATAAGATCTACTATAAGGGTACTTTATAGGAACCCCCATTAAGGGAGCTACTGTTTGGTTGTCAAAATCAATGCTGCCTACATATTTATAGCGTGTTCCCCGGGAGGATCTAGAAAGTAGATGCCCTAATTTGGGGCCCTATTCTACTATAGGGTACTTTATGGGACCCCCCATTATGGGAGGGTAGTTGTCAAAATCATGGTCCCATTTTGGGAACCCTAAATACTAGGTGCTGTATTATAGTCAGGACCCAAAAAGGGGATCCCAATTTTGACAACCGCCCAATTATAGGTGTTGGCCCTGAATCTCTACAGGCTTACTGGATAGATGGATAGATAGATGGATCGATACACGTGGGTAGATAGGGATAGAGAAACATGCATGTGCGCGCATAAGCCTGCCCGTAACTGCTTGCGTTGCAGTTCCGGTCTGACTTGCCAGAATCTAGATGTCGTGCTTCTCTTCGGGCGCTACTTCGGGGGAAGACCTTGGGTTTTACACCCGGGCTTCGGGCTTATACTATAGGGGTTATAAGTTTAAGGCTTGAAAGGGTATGTTCGAATACTAGGGGGCCAGCACAGTGCTGCTGAAATGGGTTTTCGCTCTACATAAGCTGTACCCTCAGCTGCATAAACGCCTGGTTACCTGGTTGGAGTTGCGCCTCTTGTCCGGCAGGAAACCACTGCAGCTTGAATGAAGACCACTTCACTAGGAATAGGATAACACCCTCGAATCCACTCTAATTTTGGTCTTCAGCCTGACGGCACTGTGCATTGAGCTTGCTACGGTAGTTTACACTTCTAGGGTTACCATATTCATTCTGCGTCGTCCGATCTTGGAATAGTTTCAGGACGCCGGCTAGGAAAGGGTCTTTAGCACGAGGGGCCGTTCGGATCCCAACCCCTGAAGTCAACTTCACCGCACACACATCGCTACCAAACATTTCGAAGGGGTTGAGTGTTTCGACCTCACTAAGCTGCTGCCACAGCCGAATTGACTCCACCCTGGACCAGGCAAGCCTTATAAACTTCCTACGAACTGCGAAGCCTGCTGGCTGACAATCCCGAACACTGGCCGGACCGGGAAACCTTCAAAACCAAACTATAAGCCTGGACATTCGACCCCGAAGCCGAAGATTGAACTCCAAAGTCTGAAACAGCTCACCTCCAATCCCCAAAATAACTCCTAAATCCCAGGACTGGCCTCACCCCCTCGGGCGTCTGAAAAACCTTGACCGTGGTGGGCCCATCGGGCAGATTCACCTCGAGCACAGGGCTTCGGATACGGAGTTTTGCGTCTTTTTTTAAGGTCCAGGGCCAATGGTTTAGGGCTTATAGGGTTTATGTAGGGTTTAAGGAAGAGGAGGCCATGTGGCCGGCGAGGAGGATGTGACTGGTGGGTTTTGTTCTTCGGTTGCAGAAAAAATCTATACACTACTGGCCTTTCAGCTTCGATGCCGGAATGCCAGCAATGCTGCCAAGCTCACTCAAGGCTTCATCAACTCCATGCCTCTACCAGTCTACAAGCACACGTGAAACAGGATTGTATGGTTACAGAGTTACAGGTGTAAGTAAAACTAGTTAATAAAGGTATATACCAAGACTATATAGAGCCAGCTACCGCCAATGCCACACCGGCACACGACACTTTTTCATCTTCGACGGCCTCTTTGTGAATGCACCAACCAGCAACAAGAGTCCTGCCGTCTTCTGCGCAAGGAATCAAAATTGTGAGCCGAACTACGACTATATACTGGCAGACCAAAAAGAAGCGAAGTGCAGGCACAGCGAATCCAAGGTTGCATTGCGTGAGGTGCCTGTTGAACACAAACCCTTCTGCTGCTGGAGCGGTGCAGACTGGAGACATCAGCGTGTTGATGCAGAGTTGCTCGGCGCATCCCTTCTCAACCCTCAGCTGTATAACCTTGGAACGCGTGCTCTGCACTTCAGCACGCAATGGCTGCGTAACGGGGTGGTCAAGAAGCTGTGTAGGCACAGGTCATGAAACCGTGCGCTGAGCTGCTTGAAAGCGTTGCGGCACTCTGTGAATTCTCGGCTCTCAAAGTCTAGAGTCGTGCTTCAAATTTGTCTAGGCCCTATATAGGCTCAATCGGTGTACTCCCCGGCCGCCGTGTCCGGAATGGAAGCTCCTTCATCCATTGGGTTGACCGGCTCCTTGCCTCTCCCACGGACGCTACGACGAATCTGCGACTTCTTATGCCCCTTGCTGAGGATGCAGGATGGGCTGGAGAAGACGGCCACAGGCAAGTTCGGGTTGAAGACGATCTTCAGCACCTTGCACTCCGTGGGAAGCGTCTCTGCGATGGTGAGCGCAACCGGCTCCCCGGAATCAAGCATCACGAAGTCGCCCACCTTCAGCTTGCCTGCCGGCATGTAGAGATGGCGCCCCGCTTTGCCACCTTCATCGGGGACCTGCACGGGATGGTCCGGGGTCACCCGCAGTGTTGCAGCGCCCGCCTGCAAGTCGACCACTTCCGTTGCTCGCGCTTCCTTCGAGATCTCGACCACCTCCAGAACGGTCTCGCCATCGCCAGCCAGGACCTGCGACCCCTTCTGGAGGTCACTGCCCTCGCGGAAGACGTCCATGCGGCTCTTGAAAATGGCATCCAGCATGAAGCAGTTCTGCTTCACGGAGCAATCAGAGGATCCGCTCAGGACAGAGGCGTGGTCTTCATCCACGAGACTGTACCCCAGCTGCTGGGCCAGATCCGACTCCTCATCAGCGAAGGCTGCATTGCCAGGAGCTGGGCCACGAGGATTGAAGGTGGGATGACGATGATGATGGGACTCTTGCTTCTTCCTCTCGGCAAGCTGGCCAAGGCGCTCTTGGTACATGCCCCTCTCTTGCCACAAAACCTCCAGCTGACCACGGGCTTCGGCAAGCTGCTGCCGGAGCTGCTCACACCGGTCCTGCAAGACGGCTTTCTCGACCTGCAGCTCCGTGCTTTGCCCCATCTCAGCCCGCTGACAGCCGTCCTTCAAGCGGAGATTCTCCTCCTGAAGCCGCTGCAACTCCAGCCGCTCTTCAGCGGCATCGGCCTCGGCATGCGCCAGACGCTTCCTCGTATCGGCGTGCTCGGAAGCTTCTGTCTCCATGCACCTCGCAAGCTCTTCGCAGCGCTCCTGGCACTTGCTGTGCTCCTCCTGCAACTGCCCGAGCTCCATCTGCATCTCTGTCACTGCCGCCTCCCCAGCTGCGGCGCGAGTTGCGAACTCCTGACACTGCTCCTTGCACTTGGCACTCTCGTTCTGCGCGGCTTGGAGCTCCGCCTCTGCCGCAGCCAGGCGATTGCGCAGATCTCGACACTCCTCCTCCTGCGACTTCTGGAGCTCCGCTTCGAGGCGCCGGCGCTCGGAGGTCTCCTCCTCGAGCTTCTGCCGCTTCCGTGCCGTCTCCTGGCTCTCCGCCTGCTCGAGCCGCTCCGCGAGCTCCTGGCAGCAATCGCGGGCGTCGTCATCCTGCAGGTACTCAGCCGCTTTCCGCTCCCGCTCTGCTGCTGGGCGGCATGGCTCTCCTCGAAGGAGCCCCGCCTCGGAGAAGCGCCACCAGTCGCACTTGTACTTCCCCCACTCGGCCGCCCCGTGCCGGAGCAGCGCCTCGCAGAGCCGCTCCTGCCTCGTCGCCGTCTTCAGTTCTCCGAAGCGCTCGAGCCAGGCCTGGGCCTCCGCCGGCTGCGCGGCCCAGAGCTCCACGAGCCGCCGGCTCAGCGCCTCAAGAGCTCGGTTCGAAGGAGCATAGCCGAAAAAAGCACAACAAGCAACCAAGTAGCCGAAGGCGTCGATGACGGTCGCCAGGGACCAGCCGGCAGGGACTTCGATCAGGTGCATGAGACATTTTGCTTCGGACTGCTGGGGCATGGCGGTGCCTGTGCCTCGCGAGCTGCGAGATGGGCACGCGTACGGGTGTCCCCTAAGTTTTTCCCTTGAGCTCTGCTTGCCTGGGCCCAAACATGGAAAGAAGCACCCTGTCGCTCATGGATCGAACTCTCAAGGCGCATCTTCGGGCCGACGGTTTCGAGGCTTCTGGAACAAGTCACCTAAATTTTGAGACCTCACCCTGACCAAACCCTAAATCCCGCCTTGAACCGCTCCAACAACCGGCTCTTGTGTTGTTACGGTCTTGAAAGGAAGCCCCCATGCTTGTAATTACAACTTCTGGGGACCGTAATTTACGAATCTCGGTGATGACATCCTTCGGTACGACCCTCTCATGTCGGGGCCCTCTACCCTTCTACTATGAAGTCCTTCTATATGGGAACTGCAACCTTTTATAAACTTTAAACAACCCTTCAGGTTACATTTCGGCCTCAAGATTCAACATAGCCATAGTAACAACAAACCTTCCATACCCATAGGCTCCACAGTAGTTCCGTTTTGGGGTGGCATCTTTAGGATCCAAATTCGGTAATCCCCAAAAGGAACTACTATAGAGCCTATGGGAATACCAGGCCTCCGAGCCGGGCCGTTTCCCACGGGCGCTGTTGGCCCGGAATCCGCCTCGAGGGTTTAGGTTTCTATATAGGGCTATGCCCGCAGCCGAAAGCTTCTTCTCCACGGAATTTATGTGAAGGAAATCGATCATCGATATAAAAAATCAAGCTGACCCTAAACAGGTTGGCTTTGTTTCGGGCTGCATGTGGTGTTGGCGGTTTCGGGCTTGGGCGGCTTGCGGTTTCATGCCGAGGGCTCAATTAGCATCTAAGAGTGTGCATCGGTGGCTGGGTCCAGAGAAGGTGTCTGGAGGCACGCTGCCTGGAGTAGCATTGCTCGATGGAAACGAAAGATATCGAACGACAAGGCAACTGCTACGATTCGTGTTGTCGCTAGAAAGTCTGGTCAACAAGCTGGTAGCAACTTGCTACAGACGTCATAACCTGTTTCTGACATATCAGCACAAGGCAAGGTGAAGCCCTCAACGCTAACCAAAGCCCAAATGCCGTCATACTGAGCTGCATACGTGCATACACTCAACCTACATCAGCCGACACCTTTAGATCAGCTCAAACCGTCTACAGATCTTTGAGCCCGGGCCAGCCGTCGAACACATCGCACAACACGGTGATTCGATCATAAGCTCCGGGTCTTGAAGACCCCCCGGTTGGTACAAGTACCATGAAATGGATCCTACCAGCAAACACATACGATGTGACCCCTACCTCATAATCAACAGATTGTAAGCGGCATGGACATACTCGGAAAGCTCTCTTAATCTGTGATGGAAATCGCTCTCTGGAGCTACGTGGCGTTTTTCGATTACAGGCTCTGGGGTTGTGGTCACCCAGACTCGTGCGTTCGATCCTGTCGAGCACTAAGGGTCTGGATGGTCGTAGAAGCCTTTCTAAATAAAGAATACATGGTTGTTACCCGGACAACGTGAACACAAGCCCTCCGCTGCCGTTTCTTCATCATGATGTGTATCTTGATGTCCACAGAAGCCCCTCCGATACCCTAAACCCTAACCCCTACAACCCTAACCCCAAAACCCTATACCCTAAACCCTTTCAGTGTGAGCCGCCTCAGAACACCGAAACTGTCCGGATCCAAGGAAGCCTTCTCCTCTAATATAGGTGGCTTAACAAAAAGCCTAGGGTTTTGGGGCCCACTATACTATAACTATAATAGGGAGCCCCCCCAAATAGTATAGGTAATTATTTAGGCCCCTACAGTACCGGACCTAGCTCCTTGAAGCTTACAAACCCTAAGCCGAGGCTCTCTTGACCACAAGATCACTACAAGGGGTCCCATACAGGTTCAAGCAAAATACCATGTAACATACCATGGTGCTGCTGCTACAACCTACTTTGCTATAACTATCATGTGCTACAATTGGGCTGGCTATCCTGAAAGCCTAAAATAATGTCCCGTTACCCATGAAAGGCTATCATTCTACATACTTCTGGGGTCTAGGTAAGGGGCGAACATCTAAGCGGCGAGTTCAGGGTTTTTTTAGGATTTCGGGTAGAGTTCAGGGCTTATAAGGGCCCATAGGGTTTAGGGTTTGTATGGGCTTGGGTTCAGGATAGAGACAAGGTCCGGAGGAGATGCAAGAGTTTATAATAGGCTCTTCTACTCCACGCATCTTTTGCCGCACTTTGCCGGCGTCAGGGGATGGGGACTCTTCTCGAGGTCGAAGGAGAGACGTAGTACCTGCACAAGGCTACATGGCGAGCTTCGTTGACTCGTGTGACGATCCCGCAAAGCGAACCAGAAATACTGTAGTGTCGCATTCCAGAGTCTTGGTTCTCAGTGTTTGAGCTCTTCCCTTGAGGTTTGGGGTTTGGCGACCAGGCGAGGGCATTGAAAAGCCGTAATTATAGGCTCTGGCACCAGCGCTGTGTCAACAAGTTTTTGCTTTGCCTAACCTCATAGACAAGCACTCAGAAGAAGAATGAAGTTTGAGTTTACTGGATGTATGGGTTGAGTGTTAGAATTTGGGAGTCGCGGTAGTTTCAGAAAAGACCTTGTTGAAGCAAAGTGTCGATAAGCTCCAAAAACCTCACAGACATGTTTAGAGCTTAGGGTTTAGGGCTTAGGCTTTAGGATTTAGGGCTTGGGAGTTTAGGGGTTAGGGGTTTAATTAGGGTTTAGGGGACCCAAGGGCGGACCTAGAGACCGGGGCCCTGCAAGGTCTCGAGGCTGGGGCTCCCCTGGCGAGCAAGCCCTGAACCACGATGCTGCCTACGTAATTCTAGGTGCTGGTCCGTTAGTAATCTTTATAAACCCCTTTAAAAGGAACCGTACGGAATAGGATAGGCAATTATTTATAGTGTGTTTGCCGGGAGGATCTAGAAAGTAGATCCCCTAATTTGGGGCCCTATTTTACTATATAAGGGCACTTTTATTGAAACCCCCATTATGGGAGGGTAGTTGTCAAAATCATGGTCCCGTTTTGGGTACCCGAACTACTAGGTGCCGTATTACAGTAAGGACCCAACAAAGGACCCCAATTTTGACAACTACCCCATTATAGGTGTTGGCCCTGAATCTCTACAGGCTTATACATAGACAGATGGATGCATGGACACGGGCAGATAGAGAAAATTATGAGCATGCATATGCGCGCATGAACCTGCCGGCAACTGTGTACGTTGCAGTTCCGGTCTGACTTGCCAGAATCTAGATGTCGTGCTTCTCTTCGGGCGCTACTTACACCTGGGCTTCGGGCTTATACTTGAGATTGAGAGGCTTGAAAGGGCAGGTTCGAATACTAGGGGGCCGGCACAGTGCTGCTGAAATGGGTTTTCGCTCTAAGCTGCACCCTCAGCTGCATAAACGCCTGGTTTGAGTTGCGCCTCTTGTCCGGCAGGAACCCACTGCAGTTTGAATGAAGACCACTTCACTAGGAATAGGATAACACCCTCGAATCCACTCTAATTTTGGTCTTCAGCCTGACGGCACTGTGCATTGAGCTAGCTACGGTAGTTTACACTTCTAGGGTTACCATATTCATTCTGCGTCGTCCGATCTTGGAAAGGTTTCAGGACGCCGGCTGGGAAAGGGTCGTTCACACGAGGGGCCTTCGGATCCCCACCCCTGAAGTCAACTACCCAGCAAACATCACTACAGTAACAAGCATTTCGAAGGGGGTTTGGGTGTTTCGACCTCACTAAGCTGCTGCCACAGCCGAATTGACCCCACCCCGGACTATAGGCAAGCCTTATGAAATACCTACAAATTGCGAAGCCTGCTGGCTGACAATCCCGAACACTGGCCGGACCGGTAAACCTTCAAAACCAAATTGTATAAGCCTGGACATTCAACCCCGAAGCCGAGAATTGAACTCCAAAGTCTGAAACAGCTCACCTCCAATCCCCAAAACCCCTAAATCCCAGGACTGGCCTCACGCCCTCGGGCGTCTGAAAAACCTTGACCGTGGTGGGCCCATCGGGCAGATTCACCTCGAGCACAAGGCTTCGGGTTACGGAGTTTTTCGGTTTTTTTAAGGTCAAGGGCCAATGGTTTAGGGTTTATAGGGTTTAGGGTTTAGGTACCTAAGGAAGAGGAGGCCATGTGGCCGGGGAGGAGGATGTGACTGGGTGGGTTCTTTCTTCGGTTGCAGGAAGATCTATACACTACTGGCCTTTCAGCTTCGATGCCGGCATGCCAGCAATGCTGCCAAGCTCACTCAAGGCTTCATCAACTCCATGCCTCTACCAGTCTACAAACACACATGAAAGAGGATTGCATGGCTACAGAGTTACAGGTGTAAATAAAACTATAGTACAGGTGTAGGCCAAGACTATATTGAGCCAGCTACAGCCAATGCCATACCGGCACAACGAACACTTTTTCATCTTCGACGGCTTCCCTGCTCAATGCACCAACCAGCAACAAGGCTACCATCCGTCTCGCAAACAGAAATGAGTCCTGCCGTCTTCTGCGCCAGGAATCAAAATTATGAGCCTGACTAAGACTATATACTGGCAGACCAAAAAGAAGCGAAGTGCAGGCACAGCGAATCCAAGGTTGCATTGCGTGAGGTGCTTGTTGTTCAGCAAACCCTTCTGCTGCTGGAGCGGAGGACGTCGGAGACATCAGCGTGTTGATGCAGATTTGCTCGATGCATCCCTTCTCAACCCTCAGCTGTATAACCTTGGAACGCGTGCACTGCACTTCAGCACGCAATGGCCGAGCAACGGCGTGGTCAAGAAGCTGTGTAGGCACAGGTCATGAAACCGTGCGCTGAGCTGCTTGAAAGCGTTGCGGCACTCTGTGAATTCTCGGACTCTGAACAAAGCTCTCAAAATCTAGAGTCGTGCTTCAAATTTGTCTAGGCCCTATATAGGCTCAATCGGTGTACTCCCCGGCCGCCGTGTCCGGAATGGAAGCTCCTTCATCCATTGGGTCGACAGGCTCCTTGCCTCTCCCACGGACGCTACGACGAATCTGAGACTTCTTGTGCCCCTTGCTGAGGATGCAGGATGGGCTGGAGAAGACGGCCACGGGCAAGTTCGGGTTGAAGACGATCTTCAGCACCTTGCACTCCGTGGGAAGCGTCTCTGCGATGGTGAGCGCAACCGGCTCCCCGGAATCAAGCATCACGAAGTCGCCCACCTTCAGCTTGCCCGCCGGCATGTAGAGATGGCGCCCCGCTTTGCCACCTTCATCGGGGACCTGCACGGGATGGTCCGGGGTCACCCGCAGTGTTGCAGCGCCCGCCTGCAAGTCGACCACTTCCGTTGCTCGCGCTTCCTTCGAGATCTCGACCACCTCCAGAACGGTCTCGCCATCGCCAGCCAGGACCTGCGACCCCTTCTGGAGGTCACTGCCCTCGCGGAAGACGTCCATGCGGCTCTTGAAAATGGCATCCAGCATGAAACAGTTCTGCTTCACCGAGCAATCAGAGGATCCGCTCAGGACAGAGGCGTGGTCTTCATCCACGAGACTGTACCCCAGCTGCTCCGCAAGATCCGATTCCTCATCAGCGAAGGCTGCATTGCTAGGAGCTGGGCCACGAGGATTGACGGTGGGATGACGATGATGATGGGGCTCTTGCTTCTTCCTCTCGGCAAGCTGGCTAAGGCGCTCTTGGTACATGCCCCTCTCTTGCCACAAAACCTCCAGCTGACCACGGGCTTCGGCAAGCTGCTGCCGCAGCTGCTCGCACCGATCCTGCAAGACTGCTTTCTCGACCTGCGGCCCCGTGCTTCCGCCCGTCTCCGTCCTTCAAGCGGATGTTCTCCTCCTGCAGCCGCTGCAACTCCAGCCGCTCTTCAGCAGCATCGGCCTCGGCCTGCGCCAGACGCTGCCTTGTATCGGCATGCTCGGAAGCTTCTGCCTCAATGCACTTCGCAAGCTCTTCGCAGTGCTCCTGGCACTTGCTGTGCTCCTCCTGCAACTGCCCGAGCTCCATCCGCATCTCTGTCACTGCCGCCTCCCCAGCTGCGGCGCGAGTTGCAAACTCCTCGCACTGCTCCTTGCACTTGGCACTCTCGTTCTGCGCGGCTTGGAGCTCCGCCTCCTTGCTGCTCACCTCCGCCTCCGCCGTGGCCAGGCGATTGCGAATATCTCGACACTCCTCCTGCGACTTCTGAAGCTCCGCTTCGAGGCGCCGGCGCTCGGAAGTCTCCTCCTCGAGCTTCTGCCGCTTCCGCGCCGTCTCCGAGCTCTCCGCCGCCACGAGCCGCTCCGCGAGCTCCCGGCAGCAATCGCGGCTGTAGTTCTGCAGGTACCAAGCCGCCAAGCGCTCCCGCTCCGCTGCTGGGGCGAGCTCGCCTCGAAGGAGCCCCGCCTCGGAGAAGCGCCAGCGGGTGCCATCGTACTTCCCCCACTCGACCGCCCCGTGCCGGTGCAGCGCCTCGCAGAGGCGCTCCTGCCTCGTCGCCGTGTTCAGCTCTCCGAAGCGCTCGAGCCAGGCCTCGGCCTCCGCAGGCTGCGAGGCGCAGAGCTCCACGAGCCGACGGCCCACCACCTCGCGAGCTCGCAGCGCAGGAACGTAAGTTTCATAACCAGCCAAGTGGACGAAGGCGTCGATGACGGTCGCCAGGGGCCAGACGGCAGGGACTTCGGTCAGCTGTGTGAGACTTTTCGCTTCGGTCAGCTGTGTGAGACTTTTCGCTTCGGACTGCTGGGGCATGGCGGCTGCGAGATGGGCACACGGGACCTCTGAGTTGTTGACCTTGCCCTGCTTGCCTGCAGCACAAACACGGAAACATAACAATGCAGGCACATGGTTTGGTCGAAGGCTTCAGACCTTTGCGCCTGAAAAGGTCATCTTCAAGCTAAAGGTTAGGAGAAGAAATGCTGCCTTCATCCGCATCAGGATTCCATCAGGAGTTTAGCTATATACTCAACACCGAAGACAAAGGCCACTTGAACGACTGCGTGGTGCTCCAGATTAAAATCAGAAATGCAAACCATACACAGTAGCAGTTTTGTCAAGACTCACTATAGATTCTATATAGCGCAGAAATGACGATCCAGTCGCAGGCGCAAGCGATAGTCGTCGCCACCGTCATGCACCAGCAAGAATCCAAATGACAAGAAATCCTTCCAAAGGCCCCAGTACATGATATCAGGTAGAGCTTCCATATAGTAGGAGTTGCCATTATGGTTTGGGTAAGTATCCCCAACGTATCGGTACTTAGGACCCTTTGAAGTAAGAGGAAGACCTACTTGTCGGGTATCAGGGGGAACTAAAGGATTACATAGGGACCATACTAATTACCCCAAAAAAGGTTAAAGGTTACCGGGCCCCCGAGCACTACCAGGAAGGAGACCGGGCCCCCGAGCTGTGCGGTTTCCCACGTGCGCATCCACCTCCCAGCCCGGCGGCGGCTCGCGGCTCGAGCGCTGGCGCCTGCAGATGTCCGGGTGGTCTTTACCTGGACCCCAAAAGTATGTAGAATAATAGCCTTTTTATGGGTATTGGGCCATTATTTTACCTACTTTGGGGGGTTTAGGTATCAGACAGCTAGGCTTCCTGCAGCTGCAGATATAATATAATTCGGGGGGGGGGGGGAGGCCGGAGATAACGAGCAGCCGGGTGATATCTGGACATGTCGGCGGCAGAAAATGCGGTGTACAAGAAGGTGGCAACCTGCTGCATCACGCTTCTTACAGGCGCTGCCATCGACTGGCAATTCAACTCACAACAAAAGGAAGCCTTCAATGAATGCCCTGAACCCCCTGCAACCCTGAACTAGTGAACCCTAGCAGGACCCTCGCTGCGCAGGACTAGTAGCCATGGACCGGCGTCAAACTCCTCACTTTAGACCTTACAACTGCGGCTTAGAGCTTCCGGGTCGTTGAGAGTAGGATATAGGCGGCTCAAGGGTCGAGGATCCTTGACTTCCGTGATAATGAATGTCCTCTCCCGTTCTATCACGATTCTCATAAAGGCCATGAGAATCCTGGTATGGTCCTCGATGGATAAGAGGGATTTAGCTCCGGGGTCTGCGTTGAAGCCATCCTCACCCACGAGCCTTTCGCCGCGGGCGTGCGATCTCACCGCTGGCCTCCTGGTTCACTATTGAAGGCTTCGGTGTGCGGTGCGAGCTTTCGTGCTTACATCGGGCGGAGCTGCTTCCTACCTAAACCCCCCATTTAAAGTAGGTAACATAATGGCCCAATACGCATAAAAAGCAATTATTCTAAATACTTTTGGGGTCCAGGTAGGGACTTGCCACGTCTCCTTGCACCTGCACGCCTCTTTGACCTACGATGCACCCCACCACCTGGCAAAACCACTACTAAGCCCTGAATCCAACCCTAAACGATAAAGCCTAAATCCTTATAAGTCCCATATATAATATAGAGTAACCAAAGCTTCAAGCCTGCAAACCCGACAGCCTAAACCAAAAAGTGGCCCTATGGCCCAAACCCTATACAAGTAACGTGTCAAGTCTTCGACCGGCATTACCTAAACCCCCCAAAGTAGATAAAATAATGGCCCCATACCCATAAAAGGCTATTATTCTACATACTTTTGGCCCAGGTAGAAACCCTAACCCCTAAACCCCTAACCCCTAAACCCTAAACCCCTAAACCCCTAAACCATACTTTTGGGGTCCAGGTAGGAGCTCCCATGCGCGCGCCTCTCGCCGCGAGCTTCGGGGGCAGATGAGGATCTCCGACCTACCCACTTCTGCCTGCCAGGAGTTATTTTTTGTTACCTAAACCTCCCAAAGCAGGTAAAATAATGGCCCAATACCCATAAAGGGCCATGATTCTACATACTCTTGGGGTCCAGGTAGTCCTTATAGTTTCGGGTCTTTCAAAGATCTCGATAGATAGACAGGGTTTAGGGTTCAGGGGTTCAGGGGTTCAGGGGTTTAGGGGTTTGGGGTTTAGGGTTTAGGGTTTAAGGTTTAGGGATAGATGGATAGTAAGGTGTTTGGTTCAGCCGCCTGTATTCTGGCAACTGCATGTACTCAAAACACCATATATCAGCGAAGCGGCCCAAAGATCTACAGATGGTTTCTAGGGGGATGTGAGCCTATAGTACAGAGTCTCTAGGGTCCAGGAGTCCGGGGTGTGTAGTGTTGGCTTTTGAACCCACAGGCTTGGGAAGTGTAATCCAAAGGGTGTAACTGTACGATACTCTATAATGCATGCAGGAACCCTAGACCTAGACTCTATAAACCTTCGCGTTGCGTGCAAACAGATGGAATCTGGCAAACAGATGGAGACTACATGCAGACCATCTATTCAAGCTCGACCCCTGAGCCTTTACTTTACTTACAGACTCCCAAATTCCCTCTAAACCCCGAAGCTCCACAAATCCCTCGCGAGTTTGCATCAAGGCTACCGTGCTTTGCATCAAGGGCTTTCCCTCAAGCCCCAAACTCTGCAAATGAGATCATGGTCTTACAATGCCTTGCAATCGAGTAAATCATAATCGCCAAAGCATAAGTATGTAGCGGGCCTCGATGTGTGCTCAGTGCTCAGAGGGCTTCACAACATGTGCGATAAATTGCGATGCCTACGTAGGCCAAAAAGCACCATCAAGCTCAGGTGAATCCAAGAAAAGGTCCTAGAAGCCCTGCAAAACCGTTTGGTACTCATTCACTAGAAGCCCTTAGTTCCTTGAGTTCCCAGGCCAGCGGCCCTTAACTTCCTGGAGTTCCCCATGCTCTCCACAGGCTTTAGCCCGCCTCTCCCAGTAGGGCCGATTCTGCAGTTCGCGGCGGCGGGCTTGCCGCTGTCGGGCGGCCATCATCTGCGGCCGTATGAGGTCCATCTCCGCCTGCGCTGCTCTTCTCAGGGTCTGGGCAGTCCCTAAACCCCTCAAAGTCTCGGCCTAAACCCCTCAAAGTCTCGGCCTAAACCCCTCAAAGTCTCGGCTTGCTACAGCGCTTGTGGAAGTAGCAGAAACAAGTAGCGGTAGTGCCGGAAACATCTGAACAGCCTCTCGGCAGGTTTGCTCCAGGATTGAAATGACATATGCTTCAGGGTCCGGGATGTTAAGCATCGGGCCATGTCCGGGTTTGGGGCGGCCGGACAACTCCGGATCCAAGTCCTATAGGGTGTCGGAATTTAGACGCGACTTCAACCCCAAAACCGATACGCCTCAAGCCTGCTGATCCTGAGCCCTTACATCGCCGCACTCAGATGTAATTGAATTCCCCAACCTTCCTCACCCCCTCTTATCCCTCCTTCTCCCGACCCGCCGACCTCTCGTTCCCACATGGCGCGCTCTTCCGGTGTTTCCACCTGGGAGTTTCCGAAAATAGGGGACTCTAATTTAGTAATTACCCTAAGTAGTAGGATCCTGATTATAAGGACCCCTAAATGAAGTACCCTTAATTTTAGGAAACACCCACCTGGTTTTGGGTTTGACGCTGAGGTGCGCAGGTTTGCTCCGGCTTCGAGCCCCAGCAAACACAACCCGAACCCGGGTTTAGGGCTAAGGGCTTAGGGCTTATATAGGGTTTATAGGGTTTATCGGGTGTTTAGGGTTTGTAGGGCGCATAGGGTTTATCGGGTGTATAGGGCTTATAGGGTTTAGGGGCCAAGGCCATCAACAAATTTCGTTGCAGGGGAAACTTATGTGCTAAATGATTTCGGGAAAGGCAACTTGTCTGGAGGCGGGAATGCTGGGCTGCTTGGTGTTGGCACTTGAGGGGTTGAGGCTCTATTTTAAAACGTATATTGATTAAGTTCTAGTGAGCCTACCGGTCGAGCACAAGCTCCTGGCATTCGAACGAAGATGGACGGTAAAAGGAGCAAACAATGTAAATCTGTCGGACACGAGAGGTATACTTTGGTTTTATACTTAAGCACATGCAAGACCTCCAGAGACGGTGTCCCTGTACACATCGCTTTAATTACCGCAGGTGAGTAGGGAACGGAAGAATGGTAGTAATAGTAATCATAATTGTACCCCATTCCTCCATTCCCGACTAACCAACGGTAAGTTTACTACAATCCCGATCATGCCCCTTGTCGCCACACTCGCAGCCTCCGAATCCAAAACCTCCGATCTCATTCAGAAGCCGCAACACTCCGTGGACCAACCTGGAATACGTACATGCCGAAGCCGTCGCCAAAGGTCCCAGCAAAAACAAAAATCACCCAAAAGTCAGAAGCCATGAACACTATGGCCGCAGAACTAACAGCTGCAAGTCAAAGCCATACCTAGAGCCCTACCTTAGCCCCAAATAACCTACCTTTTTAAGGACTTGTATAAAGAAATCATAAAAGGGGACCCTAAAAAGGTAGGTTCTTTGGGCTCCAGGTATACTCTATGAACTTCGAGGCCCAGAGGTGTCAAACCTCTTCAAGCCTAATAAACTCTAAGCCCCACGTAAAGCCACCGAAGCTCTGAAATCCTGAACCTCAACCTATACCTGGACCCCACAAGTATGTAGAATAACAGCCTTTTATGGGTATTGGGACATTACTTTATGTACTTTGGGGGGTTTAGGTATATGTATCCTAAAGCGAACAGTCAGGGCCTCCTCCAAAGCACGCTCCACCTGGAATTGGTACTGCTGCGCAGCCCGCTCATCCGCCTGCCTCGTCTCGAGTAGTCTCTATAATGAATTACCCGCTACTGCTTCAGGCTGGTGGTGATTAGATTTTAAATTTCTGGGATTAATATTAGATCTAAGGGTTATAGGGGTCAGAGTTGAAGCGCTAAAAATGAAGTCGGCAGCCCCGCGCCTCCTCAACGAAACTCCCCGCCGGTGCCGCCGCTGCTCGTTCTGCATGGCGTCGGTGTTTCAGCGTCGTTCTGAGTTCATAGGTGGGCGTTGCAAGCTATTCAGGGGTCACCTTAACCCTTGATAACCTATCTTTTCAGGGCTCCTTATTATCATTTCCTTATACAAGTCCCTATAAAGAGGTAAGTTACTCGGGGTCAAGGCAGGGCTCCTCTTCGCAAGCTTGCATTCCAACTTGGAAACTTCACAAACCCTGAACCCAGACGAGGTTTCAAGAGAACCGTATACACCTCCAATCCGACGCCCGACCCCGACCGCAAGATATAACATCAGAAGAAGATGCTGACGAAATTCGTGCCGACTTGAGCATAGAACACCAAAATGGCTTGAAGACATAACTAGCAAGGAAATGTGAATCTAGGCTACCGCCGGCGAAATGATACTCGTAGGACACTGAGGGAACCTCCACACGGCGGCGACTGTCGCGCCGGAACCTCAGATCAAAGAGAATGAAAAGACTCCCGAGTCTTTTTGCGCTCCCTGTGCGCTTTGGGGTTAATATAGGGGCTTTAATAATTAGAATAGGGTTTTGTGGCCCAGTCTGCTATAGAAGTATAGTAAGGAACCCCCCAAGAAACAGTATGGGTAATTATTGAGGCCCTTATTTATAGTACTGTAGGTGGATGGGAAGTCCGGCAGAGTTGCGACTTTCAACAACGTCTTTTTGGGGCGCATATTTAGAATCCTTATAAGGTATAATTAATCACTAAAAGGAACTACAATGGAGCCTATGAGTAGAGGGACGACATAGGCAAGTCAAGGGCCTGCAAAACGAAGGCAAACTCCAACGTCTGTTGTTCCCACTACATTCAGAAATACAACTTGGACGCTTAGAATATTGGTAGAGCATGCTGTTGCTGCATCAATCGAGGTTGCATTGCCCTAAACCCTTCAATGCCAACGCCTACTGCACCCACTCAACTATATTCTTGTTCCCACAGCGAAACCTCTAATCAAACCTTATCAGCTCCGTGAAACTGCAACCCCAAGATATCGCCTGAATTCCGCCCGAACTCAGAGCTTCCTGGTGCTTAGTAGGGAATCCCTACAGTAGCCCATAGATAATCCCCAATAGTAGTCCCCATAATCCATTCCCCCATTCGTTGCTAAGCACCAGGGTGATAAGCCCGGCTCGGTTCGTGGCTGTTGCTGCTGTCGCCAGGAGCGGAAGTCCTGGAATCAGAGGTTTCGGGCTCCGAGAGGAGGTCTGATTACGCAATCCCAAAGAGTCTTATGTACTGTTATGGGGGATACTTCCCCAAATCATAATGGTAATGCCTATAAAATATAGAAACCCTACTTTCTACTATATCGGTACTTTGGACCCTTTGGGAATTCAGAGGGGGGGGAGGGGCTTGTCCGGCGTTGTGTTCAAGGGAGTGGTCAAGGTTGAGAGGTTGATTCAGGAAGGAGGTTTAGTTAGGGCTTGAAGGCCCCATATCAGATGCTACCGAACTTCACCTAGACTCTACTCTACGGTTTTACACCATATGACATCGTTTCCTCGAATTCTCAGGTCACTTTGGCCACTCCCAAGCTCCATCACAATCTGTGATACACTGGAACAAAAACAACTAAACGCCATACGCGAATTTCGAAGCCCAAGACGTGGCCTACAAAAGGTCGTCAAAATCAAAAACAACGCAATGAATCAAAACCTCCGCCTCAATCAGGCACGCTCATCTACTGGAAGATTAATACCCGAAGCCCGGGTCTCTCGACCCTCACAACCCACAACCGAAAAGCGCCTGATACTTCATTGATCCCAAAGGCCTGTAAAACCCCAAACCTAAACTCTAAAACCACCGACACCCCCGAACCTCTAACAAACACCAACGCAAAGAAAAAACAGCAAACTCCCTCAAAACACCTGGACACGAAACGTAAATCCAGGCATTCGAGCTATAAGATGCTGCAATAGCACCGTGTGGAAACTCGTATCGGACTAGGATAAGGTCTAAGAGGGATATTTATATGACATCAAGTGACTTCGGCTGTCGGCCCTACAAGCTCGAAGTCAGCCCTCAGTCTGCATGATTGAGATCGCACATCAAGACAGGTCGTTGTACATTGAAGTAAACTACAACTCAGTCACGAAACCTCGCGAACTGGAAACACTTCCTGGATTCCACGCCTCCAGGGTGCTGGGGCTCTTTCTCGGCTTCTCCGTGGGTGTTGGCGTCGGGACCTGCTCTGGTGCAATCTGCTACCCCAGGCCCTGATCCCAGTGGCCCATATCACGGCAAACCCATGACTCCCAAGCCCTGCAAACCCCCCATCAAAAACAACACACAGAGGCTTGAAACCCGTACTAAACGAGGTATCAAGCAAACGCCCTTCTGAAACCTAGGTTTTAGCGTGCGGCCACTCAAGGTTTCTCGGACTGTGGCTTCATCGATCATGTACTTTAGACAAGTACGTTGCAAATAGGCTGCCTCCAGAATAGGCGCACATCAAATCAACCAACCTGCACACCCTAAACAAACTACATTGCCCCCGAAAGTCTGGGAGTGCAGAGGATAATGTCATTTCTTGCTTATTGCGCTTGAGTTTCGTCTGCCGGTGTATGAAGTACCTAGAGCCTGTTACCGTCTGGTATCTCTCTGGGGACCCCCCTCGATTTTTGAACTTAAGTTTATAGGTTCAATGCGTAGTACACCTCCGGCCTTCACTGCTGGCGGCGCCGCCTCTGCTGCCGGTTCGGGAGGCAGTTCGCGTCCCTGGACAGGAAGTCTTTGAGGTGCTTATTTTGGTTGAAAGCAAAAGTATAGATATGACATGACCTGACGACCCATAGGCCCCATAGTAGCTGCTTTTTGGGATTGCCGTATAGGATTCTACATATGAACCTGAACTGTAAAGCCTAACCCCTAACAGGAACTACTAGGGGCCTATGGGTACTATATATGTTTCTGCTCATTGCGAGGAATGCCGACAGCTGGACTGCCAGGACTCGAGCTCAAGTGGCTACAGCTTGTTACACTCTAAGACTCTTGGAGTTAGAGTTTAGGGTGCTTTTCACATCATCGGAATGCGTTTCGCATCATCAGTTAATCTGGCTGGTGTGTTCATGGGGCGGCTCGGGGAGAAACATGTGTGCCAAAGGCCAAAGGCTCCCAACTTTGCGGAGTTCAAGGACTGATTGACTGATAAGGCATGTGGCATGTAGCTGCTGGATGAGGGTGTTGAATCTTCTCCGGGTTCTTGAGGCTGAAAAGTTCAGGGTCAATCTTATTTAGATCTCTAGCATCCCCAAGGCCCGCGACGCACCTTCTTATAACCCTCGCCAGTTTCGGGTCTGAGCTCGAGAGCGAAAAGTCTGCGGCACAGGGCTCAGGGCCGAGACCTCGATCCTTTCCGGTCTCAGACGAGACAAGGCCCCATGTGAACAAGACTCTTAAGATTTAAGGGTTCCTGTGCTTGCTATGAAGGTTCCTATAAGGGTTGCAGAATCAACTTCCTTGATGGGAACACCCAGACCCACGTCGACAAGTACCTATGAAAGTGCTGCAGGTCGTGCCTCCAGTTTTGCCATCGCCCGATCGTAGGCTTTGTTCAGCGACCGAAACCTGTGCACGGAACTCCTTCAGACATAATGACGACTGTTTTTTCCCACCTCAGGAGGCACACTCTGAGCAACTACACACAGGAGCCGAACTGAACACTCAAAAACATCGCTGGGCGGTATGACGACTGACTGCCCTGCTCAGAGGGCTTGTTTGAACCCCGAGCACCCAAACCCTGCTAGCCCCACACCCCTTAACCCGAGATCAGATCCGAAACAAACATCCCTGTAAAAGAGACCCTGAACCATGCATGTTATTGGTTGCATACGGGGACCCTAGTAGAAAACTTCTATAGTCTGCAGAAAAGGATTCAGTATGATACACCGACCCTGATGTCGACTGGGCTGTGACAGCTACATTTTTTGAACACCGTTGTACAGCATAGAAAACCCAATATTTACATGTAGCACCCTTCTAAAAGTCCCCCAGAAAAGCAGTGCGCCGGATTGCCTCTCCGGGTCGCCTCCGAGGTCCGGGTGGGCGCCTCGCACGCGTGCTCGAAAGGCCCTCCGCACCTGCAGGAAGTCCGGTTCATGACCCTCCGTAGAGTCTCTTCTTGAAGCTCAAGGGTTATGCAGGGGTTTTAACGGCTTTACTTTTCGGGAAAGTAATTCCTTTATGTCGAGGGTGTGTAGGACTTCAGGCAGTTGCGGAACAAGACTCTATAAGTAAGAAAGAAGGTTGCTGTGCCTGAGACTGGGTCCTTGGAGTCAGTTCCGGCTTGAAGAGCGCTGGGGCTGAGGGCTTTTAGCCTTCAAGTTGAAGGTTCTGATCTGCATCCTGCAGTAACACGGCCTCCGTATCCCATGAAACTCTACTAGCCAGTGGTTTTGAGGGGTCTCTTGGTTCTTTAGCTCCTTATTTAATAGGGATTATCATCATCCCTGGCTCCTTAGCTCCTCCAATATCAATAGTAAGTCTATACTGAACCCAAAGAATCCGAAGCCTCTCTACATACTCAGCCCTAAGACTCCCTCCCTGCTTCAGCGAAGCCTCTCCAGCATCTGCAGACTTGGGAACTCCCAAGACCTGAGAATGGGTGTGCACAATCTTGGTTTAGGGTTAATGGCTTATTAGCCTTTGGGGCTTATAGGGTTGTGGTTTTGTGGCCGAGGGCTTCTATGTCTGTTGTTGTGGCAAGGGCTGAGCTGTATGGCGGTAGGCATTGGAGAGTTTGGCTTCAGAGCTTAAGATTCAGGGCTTCCATGAAAGGATCTCGAGCCTCAGGGCTTCAGGGTCTTGGAGCTGAGGGCTGGCTTTTGGCTCTTTCAGTCGCAAGGCCTAGGTGGCTCCCAGCCTCTTCCCATAATGTAGCATCTTGGCCAACATCACCCAACACATGTAAGGCAGATTTAACTCCCTGTGGCTTCCACTCCTCAGCTGTTGTCCCGCAAGTGAAGGGCCCTCGAAAAGCTTTTTTGGGTCGGGGGGGGGATGGGAAGGGATGATCAGTGGACCGGTCACCATGAACATGATCATCGCATGATCACCCTATGTAGGCATTTTATGAGATACCCTAAACCCTAAACCCTGTGTAGGCATTTTACAAGATACCGCTACCCACCACAAGCAGGCCTCGAGTTCTGAAAGCAGGCCTCGAGTTCTGTGTGCACCACCACGCCACACTTCAGTTCTAGTGACCCTACGAAATACTGAATATCCGCGTGCGTGGTAAGCCCAGTACAAAAGAGAACAACAGAGCCTTCAGGCAAACCAGGGCGTGTAGTATTTTGGCATAACATACAGACCCCAAGAATGTCTTATCCAGTCACCTCTTTTCCATGCCGCCCACCCTGGAAAATCGACTGCAATACACAGTAATTATTCTAGTTACCCCACAAATCGTTGCATACCCTGCTTTTTTCTCATGCCTCCTTTCTCATACCTAGAGCAACCCTGTTCCCACACTGCAGGTCCCCAAACACATGACCGCTTGTCTGAGTTCCAGAGCCACCCAGGGATCCTCTTCGCGCGTGGCACGCACCTGCGAGATGCCCGAGGGGCTTTAACCTAGACCCCACAAAGTAGGCAAACTAACGGCCCGATACCCATAAAAGGCTGTTATTCTACATACTTTTGGGGTCCAGGTAAGGTGTCATCGGGAGTCTAGGGTCTATAGGGTTTCGGGTCTTATGACGAGAGTCGGGTTTCGAGGTTTGTGGAAAATTCCGTGGACTCTCAGAGTTGGGGTATAAGCAGCCAAAAGAGAATGGGGTCCTGGCATCTTGGAAAGCTTTGCAAGTTAGGCTTAAGCAGTCGGTCACGAACCAGGTGGTCATGCGAAAGGGCGCCTATCGATCCTACAGGTGTATGCACGACTTAGATTGACTAGACTTCATCAGGGCCTCTAGTTTCCATTTCGTTAAGTTTTGGCTAGGTTCGATGAGATTGCATGGCAATTGATTCCATGACATTAGATCCCACAGCCCACTTCCAATTCCGTACCTCTGTGAACTTGAGGATGCATAACCCTAAACCCTAAACCGCGGATGCAGGTCCTGGGGCATTTAGTGTTGGGATTGCTGTAGCTGTTCGAGGCTTCGGGGTTTTACAGTGTGGTATCAAGCTTCAAGCGCTTACCTGGACCCCAAAAAGTCTGTAGAATAATAGCCTTTTGAAGGTATTGGGCCATTATCTTACCTACTTTGCCGGGTTTAGGTATCAGCTACGGTTTAGGCCACGGTTGTCGCGGATCGTGTTTGTCCTTCGGTTCACGGCTTTGTGATTGAGAACTCGAGGCATAACTATCGACTCAAGGATGCAAGCTTCGCAGTCCATTGGCCTTGGAGGGCCTCCTTGCAGGGAAAGGTAGATTTCTTCGCAAGAGCCGTTGACTGTTTCTGAAACCCTTCAGCCCAGAAGCCATCATTCAGATCCTCCCCCACCATTTTCCTCACAACTGCCGCTCCCGACGAACAGGCATCTCTTGATTGGGCCGGTTGCTATCTACTTGTCAGGACCAGGAAGACACTTCTGAACCTACAGGTCCGCAGACAGCTGCGTTGGCAAGACCTTCAATCAAATGTGGGATTCACTGCATCGCCTTAGGGGTTTAGGATTGGCCTTCCGCATAGCTGTCCTCATGTCTTCCCAGCTCATGTCGGCCCTCATTGAGAGTACGAGCTCGTCGCCGCTGCGAGTCCTGGCACCTGGCGGATTTTGAACATAGCGTTCACGGGCTGTTGAGGGTGGAGGGTCTGCCGTTCCCAGCCAAGGCCCCTGCAACGGTTATTACACCACTGCTCAGAAGAACCCAAAACGCCGACTACCTAGAACAACTACTCGATGCAAGACCGAAGCCTCGCCCCGCCCCCCGCCCATCATTCCTGAACCCTCTAAGGCTATTTCCTTGAATCTCGAAATCTCGCACCGCAACGCCGAAATGCCCTGAGCCTTCAGGACCCAAAGCCATAACGGCGCCAACCACACTTCAAGCCTCCGAAGCCCCACAAACCCAACAAATCGCAATACGTCTCTAAATCATAGAACCCAGACTATGAACAACGAACATCTACAGATATATATATATATATATATATGACTGTACTCACAACACCTACAAGAAGGTGAGGGGGCAAAAAGCCCGCAGTCTTCCGGCCTATGCGGTGGCGCAGTCGCTGCGCAGCGCCTCCATGGCTTCAGCGACCTCGGGCTCGTCCTGGCATTGGATCAGGGGTTCAGGGATTGGGGGATAGGGTTCAGGGTTTAGGGTTTAGGGTTCAGGGTTTAGGGTTCAGGGATTGGGGATATTTTGGGGGTTTGGGCCGTTTAGGAAAAAGGGTTCCGGGATTGGGGTTTGGGATTTAGAGTGTAAGATGTTCGTTTTACGGTATCGCGCGGTTGTCAGAAGGTATGGGGGTTTGGATGCTTTGTCGAGGCTGAAGTCTATAGGGTTTGAAGTTACTGGCCGCAGGGTTGGCAACTGCGATAAGACCGTTCCGAGGGCCCAGGTTGGGGAACCAGGATTTTGATGGATTTGGGGTCTGGCTGCGGGCTCAGTTTGCAATGGTTCGCGGGTCAATGGTTAGAGCTTCAGTTTATGAACCGAACTGGGAGCAGTAGGGCTTGAAACGAACAGATCCAGTCGACGGCTTAGGCGTCTGCGACTTCGGACTTCTTTTCGGGCATGCCTTCCATAAAGCTGTGGATCTCTGACACCCCAGATCTCAAACTCAACATGCGTAGAGACATCCTGCTCCCTGGATGTTCTAGCTACGCCATGTCAAACCCCACTTCGAAGTCAGGACAGCGATGCTACACTGAACTCATCTCCTTTACGGAAGCTGCTATGCCAGGCATTCAGGGTGGAGGTAGTTGGATGTTGAAGAAAGCTATAACTGATTATTCGTTGCTGTATGGCCTCGATGGGATCATTGCAGGACTTCGGGCCTAGAGCTTATAAAGAGCTCGTGTGTGTGTGTGTGTGTGTGTGTGTGTGTGTGTGTGTGTGTGTGTGTGTGTGTGTGTGTGTGTGTGTGTGTGTGTGTGTGTGTGTGTGTGTGTGTGTGTGTGTGTGTGTGTGTGTGTGTGTGTGTGTGTGTGGTGTGTGTGTGTGTGTGTGTGTGTGTGTGTGTGTGTGTGTGTGTGTGTGTGTGTGTGTGTGTGTGTGTGTGTGTGTGTGTGTGTGTGTGTGTGTGTGTGTGTGTGTGTGTGTGTGTGTGTGTGTGGGTGCGTGGGTGTGCGTGGGTGTGTGTGTGTATATGTATATATACATGTGTATATACATATATATATATATATATATATATATATTTATATATTTATGTTTATATTTGTTTATGTAGACGTATATGTGTATGTATCTGTACACGTATGTATTGTATACATCTATGAGCTAACCCTGTAGGACCGTCAGACTGAACACCTTATCAGAGTTTCTGGCGCTTCATGGGCATCAGTTTGAGGCTCGAACCTTGCAGGGCGCGAGGGTGACCAACCAGGCGAAGTTCATGTGCTCCTGGGAGGACGGCGTTGCTTCAACTATGACGGTGAGATCAGGGCTTAGGGATTTCTGGCCTTGGCCTTTGATGCTTGAACTTTAGGGCTTCTCAGGATTCAGGACAAATCTGTCATAGCCTGTTTGCTTGCCGGATCCCCCCTATAATCCTTACGGACCTGAAACACAGAAGCTTAGGGTAGTTTAGGGTTAATGGATTTCGAGTTTTGGGGCTTAGGGTGGTCGAGGGGTTAAGACTGAGTCCAGTGCAATGTGAATACACAGAATCCTGTACTTCCTTTGCAAACCTTTAGCTTCCCAAACCGTGTTGGAGCAAAAATGCCACTGCGTGACGTACCCCGACATGTCTTCCATTGAACCCTGCACTCTGAGAGCAGCCCCGGCGCCAGGACGGCATTCAAGTTCTCAGGAAGCTCCACCTCAAGAAAGGTGGCTTTTCAAAGGCTTAGCGGCTTAGCGCTTAGAGGTTAGTGAAATCTTTCATTTGAGCTTTGAGTTATTGTTTTGTGTCCAGGGCTTTGGGACTGCTTTGGGCATTGGGGTCGGGCTTTGTCGGGGTTTCAATGGGATTCGGGATGGGGTTATACTGCGACCCGACGGCCTAAAACTGCGACTTTGCTGCCTCTTGAGATGCTCCGGACGAGCTCAGGTTATTGAAGTCGACGAAATCCGAAACCGGCCGGAACACTGCAACAAAACCCGTGAAAATTCTAAATCCGCGAGCCTTAAAACCTTTACAAGTACCATCCTCTACCCGAAAACCCTATACGTCCTTTTTGCAACAAACCACAACCACTGCAAAAACCGCCTGACAGCCAATATAGAAGCCTGGCTACTTACCAGTGCGATTCCTTAGGGTTCCTAACTGGCGGTACTGAATACTGTATGCCCCAAACCCCTGTTCTAACTGGTAAGGGTCCTCTACACACTAACGAGCCTTATTCTAATTCTGAAGGCCCCCAGAAATATTCCGAAACCAACTTTGAGGCCTAAAGTATATACTGTTTGGGCACATGGACCCATAAGGTTCACCCGTCGCAGCACCTGGGCAGAGGAACCCTGGCGCGCTGCGAGGCAGCGTGCGCTGAGGAGGCCCAGGACCTGGCCGAAGGAGTGGCAGCTCCAGGAAAGGGTTTAGGGTTTAGGGTTGGGGTTTGGGGTTGGGGTTTAGGGTTTAGGGTTGGGGTTTAGGGTTCAGTGCTGTGGTTTAAGGTTCCTGGGGTTTGGGGCCACGGGTTTGTTGCGTTGCAAGGAACTCTAGAACCAAAGCAGCCCCCAATGATGGGAGGCCAAAGGGGGGTTTAAGATTCTTGGGGTAGGGATTCCTTAGTACGAACCCTAGTATGGGAACCCTAATCCCTACTAAACCCCCATAGGCTAAACCCCCTTTTGGCCTCCTATGACCCAAGCACCAAGAGCTTGCTCAAGTGCCAAAGTGGAGCCTTCTGCGCCGAGGGGGGCATGCTAGCGGCCTTCGTCTTCAGGTGAGGAAGGATGACCTGAAACAGCGCTCGTGCATGTCAAAGCTTGAGTTTCTTGAAGTTTATTGCAAGCTCGATATTGGCGGCTTCTTACGACCCTGTATACGTCTCTCTCTCTTTTTCTCTCGTTCTCTATTTCTTCATATCTCTCTTTCGTTGTTTTCATTTTCTCTCTTTCAGTCGTTGTATCTGTCTCTCTTTCTCTGTTTCTCTCGTTCGCTCTTTCTTTCTCTTTCTATATATATATATATATATATATATATATAAATGAATGTGCATGTACCCATGCATGCATGCATGCATGCATGCATGCATGCGTCCATCCGTCCATCCGTCCGTCGATCCATCCGTCCGTCCGTCCATCCGTCCATCCATCCGTCGATCCACCCATCCATCCATCCATCCATCCATCCATCCATCCATCCATCCATGAATCCATCCATCCATGCAGCCAGCCAGCCATCCAGCCAGCCATCCATGCATCCACCCACGCATACATGCATACGTACATACATACAAATCTTACAGGTTCCATGTATACACGTGACATGTAACTGTAAGGTCTCGCGAGCGTCATGTACAATGTGTACGTATCTGTGCGGGTATGTAAGCCGGCATGCAGGCAGGCATGTCTGTCTGTATGCGCGTATGTATGCATGTGTGCATGTGTAGATAGATGTGTACATACATATAGCGCACACTTGCTCTGTTGCGGGTGCACAGCGAAAGCAGTGCAGCCCGCGGCGATGTCTATCCATAACGATAGATGTGTACATACATATAAAGATAAAGAATCAGGTTTCACACTACCGCTGACTACGGGAAAAATTACCTCCGAACAAGGGCTGGGGCATCAAACCCTCAACCCCAAACCCACACGCCTAACCCCAAAATCTTATGTCAGAATCCTAAGGCTCAATCCCAGGCCTAACACCCAAACTCATGAATCCAATTCCTAGGCGGTGCTTTTAAAGCTTTTGAAAAATATTAGTAAACAAGATCCTCTTAAGCCCAATAAGGGAAAATATAAAATGTCCCAAAGCCCGATTCCCTAAAAGCGAACCCGACACCTTGCAGCCCAAGCAGCAGACAGGAGGTCGCCTTCTTCCAAAGACCGGAAGAACCTCTGAGCAGACTCTGTAAGGGGCTTGGATTATCCCTATGCCTCCAGGGACCTTGTTATGGGGTCCTTAAGGGGTCTAGGGCCCTAACTATGAGGTCCTTGGAGGGATAGGGTATGATTTCGCGGGTTCAAGGTTTGAGTTATCTATACTGAACTTAGAACCCTAGCAAAAAATGTAATTTTAGCCGTTTCTTAGGGGTTATAATACCCAAAACTTTAAAAGTTATTTGTAAGTGCCCCTAAGTTATGGCTTCAGCGTTCAAGGTTCCATTTTCAGGATTCAGGGCTTGAAGTTTATGGGCTAGGGTTGAAGAGTTTCCGGCTCATCGGGTGTAAGGCTTCAGACAAGGCCAAACAAGACGACTACCCACTTGACAGGCAAGGGGGGATACTGCTGATGGACAAAATCCTGCTGCATGACCCTAAGGACTCTAAACTATGGGAACTATGGTATATTCCTTATAATGGTTAATGCAGGATTTTGTCCATCAGCAGTACCATGGGCTCGGGGGGGGGTGGCAGCAGCCCTGCATGATACATACCTTTCCCTCGTCCCTCGGCCCATGGGCTTCCAGCCCAACTGAGAAACCTCGAACCCACCACTCCTTACGTCGCCTTCGCCTCCACCTCTTATCCATGCTCATAGAATCAGCTGTTGCAGTTCTGAGCCAAGTTTTGCAGTTCTGCTTCGGCGCGCTTTACTTACACTGCTCTTGCAACGGTTAGTACGACAAAAACCAAAGGCCCGCTTCTTCAACAAAACGCGAACTATGTGACTGTTGCGCCATCTTGCGCATGCATTTTGCTTGTGACGGACGCTTGGTTTTCGGCCCCATAGTTTTCAAGTTTGGGTGGGTTCGTTCATCCGTGGAAACACAGCATCACGGCTCCAGTCTCGAAAGCAAGTCCCTTGGAATAGTCTCATGCGCGGGCCCCTTTCTTCCCCGGCCTGTGGGAATTAGTAGTTTTGGGGTTTGGTTTTGGGTTCAGTATCTCAGGGGGCCTGTAACTCTGAAGTACCAGGTAAAAACTCATAACCCTACTGCCAGAACCACTTCTAGCAAGTAGCTCGCGCTGGCGTTTGTCGAAGGTGGCGCGGCGTTGCGGATGCCTGCTTGGGCTGCTTGGCATTGTGGGCTGAGAAATGGAAATACCTACTTTTCGGGTATCAGGGGGAACTGAAGGCTAACCTTTTTGTTATGTCAGGATTATATCGGGACTGTGCTACCCAAAACAGGTTAAAGGTTCCCTACTCTACTACGAGGAACAAATATGTATTTATATATATATATATATATATACACATATATATATATATATACATATATATACATATATATATATATATATACATATATATATATACATATATATATATATGTATTTATGTATTTATATATTTATATATTTATTTATGTATTTATTTATTTATTTATGTATGTATTTATTTATTTATTTATATACAGATGTACCATCGATAGCACCACTGTCGCCGCTCAGGGCTCGACCAGGATGCCAGGTGTTCTGTTGGAGGGCCTTACACTCTGAAGTCCTGAACACGACGGCCACAACACTCAGAAGAGCAGCACAAAGAGGCTCTACAGGAACCCTCAAAGTCAGCAAAAACCTCGAACCCCCAATTCCCAATCTTCAAACCCTAAAGGTTCGATTCCGGGCCTCAGGTGGCAGTAGTTGCAGTCTGAGCCGTTGGGGCAGGCCGCCTTGTGAGTGGCCACGTAGACCTGGCTTTTTGATGTGAGGTCCTTTTTCTATGCAATACGTCTGGGTGGACTTGAGAAACTCCAAAGTCAGAGGAGTCAGTTGGTGGTTCAGGGCATTGGGACCCTTCAGCTCCGGGGCTTGGGGTTCCGGCAAAATGTAGGAACTTACTGCTGCTTACGTTGATGGGGGACGCGGGAGGGATGCGCAACATTGCACTCTTCACGTGATATTCCAGAAACATGTGCCTATCATGCGTGTATACTCGAGAGCAATCACCCCAGACCGTCAAACTACCGAAGGCCGGAACCCTAAAACCTGGAAACTCCAAAGGCTCTGCTACATGCACAACTACACCATAAAAAATACCAGCATGTGGGGTGTATTGTACGTTACAGAAACTATAAGGGGTACCTTTAAACAGCCCTGCAAAAACCAAAATAACCCTCTACCGTCAGCCCTAAACCCTGAAAACCAAAATAAACTCAACCCAACCCAAAAGAAACGGCTGCTACGCTAAATATCTGAAGCAACCATGCCGAACCCTAAGCCGCAAAAGCAGAAAAATCTTAAGGCCTAAACTCTACCTGCATCCCCAAACCCTACAAAATAGTAGGTTATGACCCCTTAATTAGAGGGTCTGACCCTGAAAACGGTAGGTTTTTGGATCCACAGGTAAACCCCAAAGAAACCCTAAACTCGACACCGAATCCCTCTAAAATCGGATCCCAGGGACACAGGGCCGACGGCACATCCAGGGATGACCAAGGCTGCCCAGGCTAGCCTGGAGTTTATCAAAGGGGAAAAGGAGGGACCCTTAATGGGGACCCCTACCCTATAATGGGCTATATAATGGGTATATAATAGCTATATTAAGGGTATATACCTACGGGTCCTTATTAAGGGTCCGTCCTTTTACCCTTGGAGTTTAGGGATTTCGGAGTTTAGGGATTCAGAGTGATTTAGAATCAGGGTTGAAGGAATCGGGTTTAGAGTTGTAGAGATTAGGGATGCAGGGGGTCTAATCATGTATAAGCATGTATGTATGTCACGCTTTTTCACGCTTTTGGGGCGTAGACTCCGAGCGGTCGCGGCCCATCGGGCACCTAATTAGAGTGAGACAAGGACAGGAGGCTGGAGTTCACGCCCCGTTTCTCAGAACATGCCATCCAGCCGACTCATGATGGCTCAGTCCGGGAATCTCAAAGAAGACAGAGAGATGCGGACGTGAACTGTCAAGAAAGAGAAGGCGGGTAGGAACTCCACGGCCCCAAAGTCGAAGGGCGAAACGCACAAGGTCCCCTTGAAGGGTCATCAGGATCATTTGCCTATGGAAGGCGGCTGGGGGAAGATGGACAGGCGGGCACTGTCGGAATCCATTCCAGTCATCCAGGCAAAGCTCGAAAGCGACATCGTCAAAGGGGCCCTCGAAGAAGGACAGCGAGTCACCCTGTCGCAGAGCTGCGACACATTCCGAAAAAGGAAATAGGATCCTCTGGCAGCTGGCACGGGCGGAACACCAGTTATCAGGCCCAACCAGGACAGTAGTGGATTCCCCTGAAAGGCCAAGCAAGGGGGGAAGACGGATCGCGGCAACCTCTAATGCCTCGAGTACTAACGCCTCATCACGAAATGTGCAAGGCGGACCGGCATGGGGATCGGAGCAAGGCACCAGCCAATCAACCACATCAGCGGTCGGGAGCCATTCTAGGGTCCGAGCAACGACCGGACGAAGGTGTTCTGGCAACAGAGGGAGATGCGAGTCCAGGAACGTGCTAGCGGTGATCCGGATGCGGCGTACAGAGGTACACACACTGGCAAAAGCGAGTCTGATGTGTTCCTGAACAGCCTGCTCGTCGTCTGCTGCGACCCCAGTGCCGACATGGTGAAGACAATCGAGGATTTCAGCAACAGGTCTGTCGGCCTCGTCTCGCCAGTCTGATGAGTCGAGAGGTAGCACGGGCCCTTCTGCCTGTAGAACGGGCGCCTGGCATCGGCCTGCGTCTTCCCCTTTTGTGCTGCCTTGGCCGGGCTCGGCCGGGGCATGATGTCCTGCGACTTGTAGGCTGCGACGACACTCGTGGCTGTAGGCGAGGTGCTTGCAGAGCTTAAGGTTCGTGGCAAAGTGGCGGAGGCATTTTTGGCACTGATGGCCGCTCAGAACACCTCGGCCAGCAGCCAACCGTCCGTGTACCTTGAAAGCATGTACCGACCACGCCTGTAGGCTAGGAAATGTCTGTCGGCATGGTCCGCAGCACTCCCGGCGGTCCCAGTGCTCCAGAGTGGGCTCAATCAAGATGCCCCCGGCGGCGCGAAGTTGCCTCGCTAGGAGGCCGCGGTGATACACACCTGCGGAAAGCCACGCTTCCTGCCGAACAGCACGTTGTTGGGCTTTCCTGAGAAGGCGTTTCCAGCGCCCTGGATTTCGGCGGATGGTGTCGGCCCAGACAAGCCAAGCATCAGGCGTCTCGGTCGACTGACCTTCCTCAGTCGTGATGTCCCGCAACCACTGTAGAGACTGACGTGCCGACTCAAGCCAGTGGGCCTCGGCATGGAGGAGTGCCCAAAGTTCGGGGATGGGATTGGTGATGCAAGCGGCAAGATGCCGAAGCCGGGCAAGGTGGAGAAGGGTGCCCATGGTGGGAAGGCCTGCAAGTGCGAGAACTCGAGCTTGACCAAGATGACGTGCCTGCAAGGCATCATAGGCAGGGCGGAGCAGGCTGCATGCCATCTGGAAATAGGCTGTGGACAGGCACTTTTCCTCTGCTCCCGTGAGCGCTGGCCACGTGCCCGCGCCATACAAGAGAGTGGAGAGCACAAGGGAGTCGAACAGGGAGACCTTGTCGGAGATCGAGACGAAACGAGAGGCAAAGATACGTTTACGTCTCTTATTAAAGGCAGCCCAGGCCATGGCGACTCGACTGCGAAGCTCTCGGATGAGAGCCCCACCGTGGTGAATGAGTCCACCGAGATGCCTATAACAAGGCACCATTTGTACAACGGCGCTGGGCCACAGCCGGCTGTCAGCAGTCAGAAGTGGGGGGTCGCTTCGAAAAAGCTCAGCTCGGAGCTTACGAGAGCCAGCACCGATGAGAGACACGATGGTCTCCGTCTTCCCGCGGTCCAGGTTCGGGAGGAGGGCACGACCCAAACAACTGTCAAGCAGGATACCAAGTGTGCGCCGGATCTTGTGCGGTAAGTCGGAAGCTGTGACCTCGTGCAAGACAAGGGCTGTGTCATCCATCCAGGTGCTATCGAGGATGGGAAGAGAAGCAGTGACAGCTGAGGAGGTGGGCCATGGGTTGGCGAGCATGTCGTCGCTCCATGGCATGGTGGTGATGCCAACCTCGCACTCAACGGCACTGCGAACCTGGTGAAGCACCTTTGCGAAGACAAAACTAAAGACAATGTCTGCCAGGTTATCCCCGGGGCGGGTACCGATACCAGTTTCGGTAACGGTCTCGTGGTGCTCGAAGCGAAACCATGTATGGCTCAAGGCTTCGCAGGTCGCCGCAGACAGCCAGGGAGATGCACCAGCAAGCTCAAAGAGGGTCTGAGACTGCAGGTAAGCGTGGATCTCGTGCATAACCTCTGGCGGGAGGTTCACCTCCTTGACAATGGCGGCGATATCCGCATCCGACCCCTGAAAGCCAACGACAAGCGGCCGCATAATCCGATAAAAGGCTTCTCGAAGATCAAGGAAAATCACCCCAAGGGAGAACTCTTGGCTCCGAGCCCACTGTTGAAAGGCACGGACAACGTGTGAGGCCATGGTAACTGGCCGATCGGGGAGTCCCCCGATCTGAAAGGCCGTGGCAGCTCTAGTGAGTGCCGGCACATTCCGTTGTCTGAGCACCTTATGGTACGCCTTTCCAACGACCGACGACACCAGGATTCCTCGGTGGGCGTGGCAGTGCTGCGGCGCAGCCTTACCTTTCCATACCGCATAAAGAGAGCCGCCTTTCCAGTGAATCGGCTCTTCGATGCGCATGGCGCACTTTAAAACGAGGGAATACAAGGCCCTGGCGGCGGGCCCAGGCATAGCATGCAGGGCCTCGGCTGGAATGTGGTCCGTGCCGAAAGCTCGGTGCAGCTGTGTACCCCGGAAGGCTGCCTCGAGCTCGCAGCATGTGGGCACATCCTCTGCAGAGATGTCGATGCACTCCAGGTCTCTGCCCTGTTGTGCCGCAACGCAGGCTTCAGCGAGGGCCTGTGGGGTGCGGCGCTTGCCGCCCTCGATGCCTGAGAAGTGGTCGATCCAGGTGTCGACGACCTCTTCGGCAGTCTCAGCGACGGTGCCGTCAGTCCGCTGGAGCTGTGGGAGTCCTTTAGCCTGACGGTGTTTGCGCTTGGAAGGGCCAAGGAGACACTGGAGGCGGGAGACGACATGGCCAGTTGATTGAACAGCGGCAGAGGCGGCGGTGTCGGAGATGCGTCGGCTGACGTCATTCCGCACTGCCTGTCGGAGCTCTTTCTTTGTAGCGGCAAGATCGCGAACATGCTGGCTGAGGGCAACTAAAGAGCGTCCCTGTCGTAGGGCGGCGACGATCCGCGCGACAGGGAGGCGGGGGCCCCTGCGCCAGCGCCCCCACGCGCCTCGGAGAGAAATGCAGCCAATCTGTGTACGCAGGTGCACAACCTGTCGACGCAGCCACACCCTGCGCTGTCGAAGCTGCCACGTGTGCGGGCTGAAATGCGAGGATCGGCAGTGTCCTCGGGAGGGCGGGAAAGCGGAGCTTAGGGCTGAAGAAAGATAGCTCTGAAGGCAGGTATAGTGGGAGTGCACATCGCACTCCCAAGGCACAGTAGGGGCGGCAGTAAAGATGCGCCGAAGAGTGGCACGCCCGGTCTCAGACAGCATAGCCTCGCGGTCGTACGCGGGTCGGCGCGTGGATGGCCGAAGGTTGCCCTTATCACTGAAGTGAAGCCAGGTGCGAAGTGCATGATGGTCGTCTCTGGCCTGTCCCCACTCAAGAGCAGAGAAGACCTGGGAGCCGTCGTGGAAGACGCTCCAGGTTTGAGGGACCGCTAGATAATCCAGTCGCGCCCCGACCCCTCCTCCCGGTGGCCACCAGGTTGCCGTGGGTCCGGGGTGGCATGAGCCGAAAGTGGATGGAATCCAGAGCCCAAAGGTTTGAAGGATATCAGGCAGCGCAGGTGGCGCCGGGTGTTTAGTGGGGAAGACGAGATCTCCGATGTGCCCTGAGAGGGGCGCATCAAAATGGGCATTGAAATCCCCAACCAAGACCAGCAAAGCACCATGTGCAAACCGATGCAAGGTATGGCGGAGGTCGCGCCACCAGGCTGCGCAGTGTGGGCTCGTTCCGCTGGGAGCGTGTATTGCGGCGAAAAGAACACGGAAGTTCCCTCTCGTGTACTTGACAAGCAGGGTTCGGGGCGTCGAGGCTAAAACCACAAAGTCATTGGGATGGAAGTAGACCTTATCCCCACTGGCAGTGGCAAAGGAATGACAACGGGAAAACCAAAGTTCGGTCCCGAAGTTGCCTTGACGGTCTTTGCCGGTACAGAACCGAATGTGTGTACTCGAGAGGAATGTATTGTCACTGGCGCCGCGCGCCTCTTGTAACGCGATGATGTGAGCACCAAAATGGTCAAACTGCTCGCGGAGAAAGGCCGCGCGACCCTGAAACGCGTCTTCCATGGGAGCAGGGCTTTGGGGAGGTCCCTCCGCCAAGGTCTGGACGTTGAGGGTGAAGACACACAAGTCGGCCTGGAAGGTAAGGTCTTGTGTCTGCCGGTAGGGCTCCTCGCGAAGCCCAAAAAGAAATGGGGCTGTGTGGCGGTCCCTGTCAACAAATCCAGTGCCGATGTAACATGGCCATGCAGCAGGGTCCTTGATCGCCTGGAAGGCAACCCAGAGCCACTTCATTCGAGAGGTGGCACACAGGCGCACAAAAGGGGCTGTGCGGCCATCACTGCATGCGATAGCCTGCGGAAGCAGGTTGGTGTGCTTGGCAAGCATATCGACTAACTCATTGCCGAAGTGCCCCGAGTGTGACCGAATATGCTGGATGTCTGGATCGAAGGAGGGGTGTACTGTCTGGGCGGCTTGACAGATCTGACGGCAAAAGCCTGGCAGCCCATTGCAAAGGGCGGAGCCATATTGGCCTGTTGTTTGGCGGAGGGCAACCAAGCAATCAGCGTGAATGCAGGTCGGCACCCAAGGGGGCGTCTGAAGGATCCACGCAAGGGCCCAGAAGAGTGCACTTTGCTCCCCGGTGAGTGCAGTGTGAGACTGAGCTCCAACATAGAGAGCACCGGTCGTTTCGAGTTCAACTCGGGCTCCTGCCCATCCAAGGAGGTAAGACCGGTCGGCAAGGGTCCCAATGGCAACAAAAGCCCAGGAGCTTGTGCCGCCATCAAAGGAGCCGTCGGTGTACACATTGATGCTGTGCAAGGTGGACAGACCTGCCCCCCAGAGGGGGGGGATGCAACAAGCTGCAGGAAGGGACAAGGTGTCTGGGATGGCGGTCTCAAGGTCCCATCCAGGGCGCAGGAGCTGCATTGCCTCATCCGGATGACAACCGCAGTCGAACGAAGCATGTGTGAGGTCATGAGTGACCCCTGTGGGAAGAAGTGAGGCAAGGCTGAGCACACGGGTGGGTGGGTCCTCCTCAGGCGCCTGGCGCGGCTCCGGGGGGAGGCTTATTGAGGCAAAGTGTTCGATGAGTGTGTCCAAGAGCGTAGCCGCTTGGAACGCCCAATGGTCGGAAGCCCTTGCACACTGTCCAAGGAGTGTGCAGAGATCCCAGGTGGGGATATCATCCTGTGTCCCCTCCCCGTGGGCATCAGTAGAGATCGCCCTCTGTCGGACAGCAGGGTGCGAGTGACGTGGTTCGTCCCGCGGTATGGGCCAGTGTCGGGAACGCACTGGCGTAGGTAAAGCACGCAAGCCTGTGTTGGTAAAAGGGGCCCCAGGTTGGACAGTGAGATCAGAGCCGATCGGGGTGCTCCGAACGGTTGGGGAACAATGTTGCGTAGGTTCGAGAGTCGCCCGAACTGGCTGGACTTGCACGGCCCACACAAGCAGCAGCATCCATCGTGCACGCCGGGAGGCCGCAAGTCGACCACCATGAACACAGGCCGTGGCGACACAAGCAACAAGGGCAATTGCGTGGAGCAGAAAGGGCACACCAAGGGCCCATATGCGGCAAGCAGTAATGCCGGCTACACATCGAAGGCTGCCGGCAATGCAAGTGCGTCCAATGGGGGTGTGCAGATGTCCCGAGCTTCGAAGATGAGCCTGAGACGGACCCGAGAGGGTGGCAGAGGTGATAACACAGCTGCTCGGTAGGCGAGCGTCAGCAGCACAAGGGCTATGTTGCCACATGCCTCTCGATCGGGGGCGCCTTCTGGCTTGGAGTGGTCTGCAACGGGGGCGGGGGTCCAACCCGCCAGTGGCGGCGTACACAGAGTGGCCATAGGCTGAGCGTGCGGTGATCGTCGGCTGACTGTTGGGAGTCGTCGACGCACTTCTCCAGTGGAAGAGACTCGTCTCAGTGTCCGGGTCGCCTTCACCTTCGGGCTCAGAGGAGTCTTCGTGCGGGTCCTCTGCAGGAGGCGTGGTGGAGGATGTGTGAAGGTCGGGTCGCGCTATGGCGATGAGGATCTGCCCTTCCTGAAGATTAACCCACCGAATGTCTCCAGGAAGACCCTGAAAGGCTGCATGCCAACCTGGAGGGATGCCTTCACTGAGGGCCTGGAGAGGGGGCAGAGAGTCAAGCCAACCATCTGTGGTCAAGATGGGGATCCAGCCTCTTAGAAGCCGGCGAGCATCAATGAGGGCAGCGACAGGTCTGGTCGTAAGAGCGAGGCCACCGACGGAAAGGGCAATAACGGCAGTGTGGCAACGCTGACCAAGAACGCTGACATTCTGCGGTCTGGGTAGACCCGGTGACAGGAGCAGTTCCGCCTCTGCACAGCCTACCTCAACGGCAATGTCGGACCGGTATCGTGTGGAGCGATGACCCCGTAGAGTGAAGGTAGCACATCCGTCAACCTTGACTAGGCAATACCAATCTCGAAAGGATCTGCTCGGAAAGGCTGGCGGGGGTGTCCATGTGGACGGGGAGCTAACAACATGGGCTAAGTCCATAGGCGGGGGCCTGGCCGTGCCCGCACGCACAAATTGAACACAAGCCCCGAGATGCAGACTAGCTTCCTCATGTGGCTGTAGCGGACCTGTCCCGTCGATGTAAACATCCGGTCGCGGATCGGTGTCCGGGCAGAATGTGTCTAGGAGCAGCGTGCCACTTGCCGTGGGTGGTGTCAGTGCAGCAAAGATGCGGCCCTTCAGTTCATAGGCATCAACGCAGACAAGAATACAGTCTTCAGTCCACTGGGGAGATGCAAGAAGAAGGCCCCAACCAATGTGCGGTTGTGCATTGACAGGGGTAAGGATGGGAAAGGCTCGAGCTAGAGCAGCATTCCGGGCCCACTGCACTGCGGAAAGAATCTGAGCGGTGGAGGTCGGCGGGACGACGCGTAGGCAAACTGTTTCAAGGGCATAGTCCGGCATGAGAATACCGACCGCCAAGGTACATTCGCCTTCACCTGTTGCAAGACTGGCAGATCCGTGATGTGAGGGCGGCCGCCCTGTAGCAATTCCGACAACCCGGCCGTGGCCGTCATGTCCAGTGTGAGCGGCTGAGGCGCCTTGGTTGGCGGGATCCGGATTCCAGGGGGGCTCGTGGTCCCCTGTAGCATACTGTCTTGCTTTCGGCGACAGGAGCAAATGTGTTGCTCCCCAGGTCGGTCCCATCACTAGCATTGGGGGCATCTGGCCCATGAGGTCTCTCTGCAGAGGGCGGCTGTGGAGCTGTGGCACCAGCACCAGTTTCACTGGTCCCGGCCCGACTGCGGTCCCGTGGGACAGTAGATGCTTGGTCATCACCGGAGGGGTCCCTGTCTGCCGGATGGCCCTGATCTCGGGGTGGTCCGCCAGGAGGCCCATGAGACTCGGGTCCGACCTCATCGGAAAGGAGGTTCTCGACAAAATCCACAGTCAGGAGGCAGCCGCTGTCAAAGAGAAAGAACGGGACGTCATCCCGGGTGTGGACCGTGGCGCCGGTGATAGAAACCGAATAGCCGTCAGGGCAAGCGGCTAGAAAACGGTCAACGAGTGCAGGGATTGAAACGCGGCCTTCCGGGCACACCTGCCATTGAAAGCCGCGAAGAATCCTCCGACAATCGAGAACGAGAATGACACGATCCTCTCGCTGCCTGGCCGGGGGGCAAGGAAGCCTTGACAGTTGCTCGGTCACAACAAGGACCTCGGTGGAGATGTGCCCATCACAGAGGTGATCTCGCACTCGAGGGGCTGTGGGTTTGATGGTGAGCGCTTCGGGAGGGGCCAGCAACTGGGATGCAACATCCTGCCTAAAAGATGCTCTGCGACCTGGGCCGACCTGAAAGCCTTGCATGCCACCATCAGTGAGAAGACTGAAATGCCCGCCAACAGTGTAGGGCGGGCCAGGCAGTGGAGCCCTGAAGTCCCATTGGTCACGGCTGAGGAGCATGGTGGGGAAATCTGATGTGGCAGGTGCATTAGCCCCGACAGCAACGAAACTGACTACCATTCCCGGGAAAAGCCGGATCCGCTGACCACGTGCCAATGCTTGGAGCAAACCATGGGTAAAGACCTGATGGTCAGAGTTACCAGCAAAACCTGCCGCATGCAAAAGGGATTCACGGGAGATGGGTGTGTGGACTGCCTTGGCGAAAACAGCACCATCAATCTGCCGTTTATCAATGAGGACAATTGCTTGCTCAGTGTCCCATTCAGGTCCCGCAGTGAAGACAGCAAAGGCTGGGGAGAGCTGTGGTTGTGCCACATAGAGTCTGGGAAAATGCTGTGCATGGGAGTCCGCTCTGGCGGAGTGGACCTCTTGAACCGCATGATCAACTCCACAAGGCAAGCGCAGGGGCACCATGACAAGTTCAGGCACGTATGACGGAACATAAATCAGAGCAAGAATCTGCATCCATGCCTCGTCTGCCTGGTCAACTGTGTGTGACGGGGCGGGGCTAGCAATATCGACAGCACTGGAGCGCGAGGGAGCAGGTTGCTGGTGGGGTGTCCCAGGGACTGCACCGGAGGCTCGGGTGTCAGGCTGTTGGGTGTGCGCGGAACCATGCCAACTTGGCGTTCCGGTATCGGTGCCTGTGAGGACAAGTGCCGGCGGCATGTCGACATCAGGAGCGGAGCTGCTTGCCGGGTTGTCGGTGACTGGCCCATCAAGTTGGGAAACAAGATCTTCGTAATCTTGGGGCCACTGCCGGGGGTCCGCGTGGTGACCACCTGGGATCTCGGCGTTCCCTGGGGGATAGGGATCCCTGGCCCGTATGGGCTCTGGTTCCTCAGGGGAATCCTCCTCACTGGAGGAGGAGTCGCTCGTGCTAGAAGATAGGCCATCCTCACTGCCTCGCAAACGAGCATAAAATAAAAGAGCGGTACTGCCGTCTAATCGAATGTCATCCCGATCTCGAACCCCGCCTATAACATCAATTTTATAGATGGGAGGCGTTTCAAGACCAAAGGTGGAGACAAGGCTTGGCAAGTGAACGGCAGGATAGCTAGTGTGAACGAACCTGGGCCGCTGGCCGAGGGGCCGCAGATCACACAAGACAAAGATATCCCTGCGCCCGCTATGTGGTGTGCCATCTTGTTGAGGACTCGGCTGGTCAATCGCAGTGACAATGTGGGCACACCGGTCCCCATGGAGGTCCAGGTCCATAACCGGGAATGCGCACATGGACAACGCATGAGGCTGTCGGCCCAGGCAGCGCGCAGCTGCTTGAACAAAGGTCTCATTGTAATGATGGTGGGGAGGAATGCAATAGCGTCGGCCATGATTCCCTTCCCCAAAAAGGAGACAGACGCTCTCAGTGGTCTCAACTGCAGGCATGTGTTGCAGTGCGCCCCACGCAGCCCCGTCCTCAAAGAGGGCGTCGATGCCAGTCTGCGGGAGTTGGACCGGTGCATCATGGGTAGCAACAATGACGTCTCCATTCCGAAGATGGACGGGGTCACCAGCGGACCAAAGCTTTTGGTGCTTGCCTACCTGTAGTGCCAACGGTTGGTCATTGTACCATGTGAGAGGGGTGATGAAGGTAATGACCTCCTCTAGCTCAATGCACTTGGGCAGGACAGTTGAGAAGGTGCGCCCTCCCACTCTACTGAGATCGAGAATGATAGCCGCATGGCCGTGTTGCCCTTCATGGTGAATGATGCTAGGGAAGCGAACAAATGACCCGAATTCGGGAAACCGTTGGGGCCTAAGAGGAGCTACTTCATCGAAGAGCTGGGTGGGGGCACCAGGCACCTGTTCCTTAACAACTTGGATGGCTTGTTTGAGTGTCGGCGTGCCTTCAAACTTGATGGCAGCCGTGACTGTGGGGTAGTACGGCGTGAAGACGTAAACCCCCAACCAACTGTCATGCCTATGACCTGTTGCGATCTCTTCAGTCCACGGCGGTGGGACTGCATGCACGTTTGGGCTAGCCTCGGAGGGAGATCCTTTGCCGTACCTCGGTGGGTCAGCCGCACAAGTGCCGATCTGCGACACCAGTTCCTCGGGAGGGATCAGGTGAGGTCGGAAATGGGGCCCTTGCGGGGGTCCGTGTACATGCCCAGGCCTGGTCATGCCCCAACACTGTGTAGGTCCTGCCAGGTGGAAAAGAGCAAGGCTGGGCCACAGGCCCGATGGGCCAGCCTGAACAGGTTCCGGTAAAACCAAAAGACACATTGCCCCGAACCAGGAGCCCCAAGTGTGATGAGGGCACCTGTATCTGTGTCGACGTTCTGTCCTGCGCTTCTGGTATGCAGAGGACAGCGGGGCCTGGGCAACGGGCGAGTAGACAGCGAAGGCCAAGACAAGCTGCACCGGAACCCAGGAGAAAGAGGTCCCAAGGAGGCCGGAACAAAGAGCACGCTTCCCAAGGGCGGGGCGGAGAAGCAGGTGAAGGAGGGCACACATCAGGACCACAAGAATCGAGATGTACCCTGACCAAATTTGCATCTCAAACCAGGGCATCAGTGCAGCGGACTGTCGGGCGGCAGTCCTATGTCCAGCCAGTGCAACAAGGCAAGAGAAGAAGCCAAGATACTGGAGGCAGGCGTATCGTAGGCTCGCACATCTTGCACCTGCAGGTGCCAAACGGTCACGGTGCTCACGGTTGCACCGTCGTGCCTTGTCGAAGAAGGCGTGCACAAAGAAGGTGGCACATCCCACTGTGAAGAGGAGGTTGCATAAGACCGGCAGGCTGTGCAGGCCAGACGGATCAAAGAACCTGGGCCCGTCAGTGGAATTCCATGTGCCTGTTTCCCGAACCAAACCATGTGAGGCTGTGGCCCCTGCGCGACCGATGCCACTATTTCGCGCTCTCACATGAGAGGTGTAAGAGGTAGAAGGCAGCGAGGCGTAACCCGAAGACCTTCTAAGGGGACAAGAGGGGTCTAAACCGAAAGCCAGGGGCTTATGGGGGAGAGGATTGCGGCCGCAAGTGCTGTAGACAGGCAGAAGTAGGGCCATGGCCCCAGAGCGACCGATGCCATTGTTTCGCGCTCCTACCGTCTGTCTGCCACATCCGTGGGGGAAAAGCTGATTGTGCTCAGACAAGTGCAAAGGCGGACACCCCACAGCGACGGATGTGTCTCTTGCGCGCTCCTCACACAAGTCTTGGGCGGAATGGCCGGTAGCGACAAATGGCCACCGACAGTCTGCGGGAGGATCCAACTCGGCTCGAATTGGGCCGGCCATGAGGTTTGAAGCGGACCCAAATCAAAGGAACCCAAGGGGTAGAGCAGGGTGACCTGCGGGCAAGGGCATGAGACGGCTCCTTGGTGCGTGGCAGAGGCTGCAGTGCTTAAGAGGATCTGATGATCCTCTCCGCTGGGCGGGGGAGTCCCAATCCGCACACAAACCCAGTGTGGGATCAGTTCTCGCGAGGAAGAGAGGAGCGCAAGACGTCTGACCGAAGGCAAGCCCAGCAAACAGTCAGAGGAATTAGCTCCTGAACAAGCAGACAGGGGGGCGGAGCCAAGGGTGGCCGAGGAGGGGGGTAGCACCTGAAGATACCCGAGCCCATCCGAGCGAAGCTAGCAGAGTGACTGTACAACACATGGTGGCAGCCCTTGGTCATGATGTGAGACCGCGGGCCTCTCAAGCTCGCACTCTCCAGGTAGCCGAGTTGGCAGCATTGACCGACGGGGTCCCAGCGAGATGGAGACTTCCCCAGCGAAGTCTCACATGTCAGCTGGCCCACCAGTCTGCCGACAAAAGGCCAACAGGAGATTGCAGCCAGGAGGCCCGCCTACTCGTCGTCACTCCATTTGCCAAAACCGGGTGATGGCTTGCCGTCTGGTTGCTTCGACGCACGTATCAGCTCGTCGGATTCTTCGTCGGAAACTGCCTCGGCTGGGTGTCGAGCAGACCGAATATTGGCGTCCGTGGGCGGAAGCCCAAAGGGGAGCAAGGCTGCTCCTTGTAGTGCTTGAGCTCGCTTTGCCTCGAGTTTGGAGCTCAGCGTGCCATGCTGCACGGGAACCTGTGGCGAGGTTCGTGTAGCTGACTTCACATCCGGCCTTGGAGGGGCCTCTGATGCAGGCATGCGTGGTGTTACCTGCTTCTCGCTGGCCAGGATGCAAAGGAGTCCTTCCTTGGCCGGCTTGGGAGACGTTCCCTGTGCCGTTCTGGCGCCCATAGGATCGTCTGGTGCTCCACCTTCGGGTCCTCCAAAGGCAGGGGCCGAGGGCTCGATTGGTCCTGTCGGGCCGGCACTCAGTGTTTCCTGGGCCCGGAGGGCCGCTTGTATGCCAGGATCCGAAAGCAGCTTGTGTATAAACTCGGGACGCAGTCGTCGAAGCTGTGAATCGTCTCCCAGATCGGCAGAAAGGCTTGTAGGAGCAGACGGCGCTGCATGGCCACCCATGGCCCTGCAAAACACCGTCCATGTCTGCCTCCTGTGAACGTTCCCATCCTTCTCGCATGGCTTCCCAAGCAGCAGCAGATTCCCGATCTTGTACCTGAGCTTTGGAGGGAGCCGCCTCGCCGGCATACACATTTCTCACAGCAAGCCTTGCCTCCTCTTGCTGCTGCACTGCCACTTCTAGGTCGTGCTGGAGCTTGGCCATGTCCGCCAAGTGGCGCTTGTGTTCTTGCACATACGCCTTTTCCATCTTCTCCTTGTAGGTGGCCCATTGCTTGGAGTTCTGTTCGCGGTGATGTAGAAGTTGCCTCACTTTGTGCTCGGCTTTCTTGGCCGACGTGAGCGGTTGCTTCTCCACGAGCGAGGAATCTGGTAGGAACACCGGATCCAGTGGAGGTAGATCTGTAGCCACACTCTCTTTGGGCGTCAGCTGGTGGTAGCTGGGAAACGTTGGCCCTCGAGCATGATCGCCCTGTCTCCAAGGGGCTCGGGGCGAGTAGGCCCCACGCCACACTTGCCAATAAGGCTGTGACGATCCATCTTTGGCCTCGTCCCAGTCCGCGGTGTCCTTGCCCTGTTTGTTCTTCCATGACTTCCCCATGTTGCAGAAGCCCGCACCCGAGTGGTGATAGTGCAGCAGCAGGGAGTCTTGAGGTCGTGGCTGTTTGCCCAAGGCCTTGGCCGAGCGGAGCCGTCGTCGAGCTCGAGAGCGTCGTTGACGCTCTCGGCGGTGCCACCCCGGGGATGGCTTGGCCGTGTCTATTGACACTGGGGCTACGATGGATCCTGATGCTACAGGCGATTCGAGCCCTATGTATGTATGTATGTATATATATATTATATATATGATGCAGGGCTGCCACCCCCCCCCCCCCCCACCCCATGGTATCCTCCCCCCTTCCCCCCGCCCCCCCTGTGGTGTGGGGCCTGTGGTGGGGGACCTGTGGTGGTACTCTTCCCGCCCCCATCGGAGGTTTTGCAACTTCCCCCGCGCATCCCTGGCTTTGGTTGGCCTTGTCCGCGGTTGTACCCCGCACCCCCGCCCATCCCACTGTCTTCTTGTTTGGTTTCCAGGTGTTGTTTGGCTTCACCGCCCCTAGCCCCTGCTTGGGGTGGCACCTGCATCATATATATGTAAATGAACTATATGAACACATTCGCTTCTTTGTTATGACGAACACGTAGTCCCCCGATTAACGAGGCCCCCTACCATAAAAAGGAACTATTATAATCAGGAATCTTAGAGTCAATGAGTCAAGCCCCGTACAGGAAACGGTTTACAACCATGAGCCTCCAGTGTTAGCCCTCGAAGCCCTCACCCAAACCTGAGGAACCTCACAACCTAGACTCCGTAAGCGACGAACCCGCGAAACCCTCAACGCCACATTGGCAACACACTCATCGTGCTACTACTTCAACCCCTGAACAGAGACCCAAGGCAGACATCCTCCTGGTTCCAAAGTCAAAGGCTTCCTGATTCCTTCGGAGCCCAGAACACAAACAAACTTCCGTCACGGAACTGACGCATGCCGAGTACTGAAGGAGTTCATACAACCAGAAATGGACCAGACTCGTCAAGCAACTCCCTCATACCAGTCATACCGGCCAAATCTGATCCTGTCGGCCCCCAAACATCCCACCACTCTGTCGTGCGATCCGGCAGCTCATGAAGGAGCAGCAGTGCGGCTGTGTATTTTGATTTTATAAGCCTATGTGACGGTTCAGCAGATGGGCCTAAGACTTTGGTGTTTAGGGAACGGTGATTTAGTAATTTGCTCGCTCCAGTTGATTGACTCGTTCTTGCCTTTAACAATTGGTCGTCAGGCTTTGGCCCCGAAGTGGAGGTCCCCGTTCTGCAACCTTACCTAGAATCCGCTTCTGGCGTCTCGTCGCCATTGAAGTAGCCCCTGAATTGTCTCGGCCAATGAACACCTCACCTACCTTCTCCGCGATCTGGCAGCTCATGCAGGAGCAACTTCGGCATTTCACTGGAATTAAGGGGTGTTTATAGGGCAGTATGAGAGTCGTCTTCTAGATGGGTTCCAGGGTGTCAGTGTTTAGGGCTTCACGGCTTGTGTAGTTTACTCTTTGTGGTTTGATTGAAAGATCGATGGCTTCAGCAACTCTGTAGGTTTGGGGCTTGCGGAGGTAGAATCCATTCCCGAGGACCCGTCGTCATTCAAGCATTGCCCTATTTGACCCGATCCCGTTGTAAGCCCGCTGTGCTGGCTTAGTCTGACCAGATCTTCCTCACTATCTGGTAGCTCATTCGGACGCATAGTAGGTGTATAAAGATTTGGAAATCAACCTTGCAACGGGAGTTCAAAGCTAGGGGGTTCGGGTTTACTTTAACCCGCCGTCCGCATCTGTCCCGTTGTGTTGTGCTCCATTCTTGCTGTCGTCGATCGCTGCGAATTTGTTGTTGGGCCGCGTTCGCGCGACGGGAGTTGGTGGAGGCTGTCTCAGAGTTTGTTGCTAGCAAGCTTCTGGTCCCTGTTGTAGCTGTTATTGCTGATGCCATGTACGAAGCCCACAAACGCGTAACATTGCAAGTAGCCACAAGACCACAGTTCGTAGAAACAAGCACCAGGAAACACATAACAACCATAGCTAGGTTCACTCTCGGATCACATAACAGTCGCAGAAAGAGTAGACATCGCCATACCTTACGAATCGAAGCCGCATACTAGCATACATGAAGCTTGTGCGGAACACGCCGAAGGCATGCTCCGAACCTTTCCGGAGTCTCTGTGCAAACGCCGGCTTTGCATGCAACCTCTGTCCTGCTATGAAGATTTCGTTTTCCGGGTGTTGCTAGCTCCGGCTCATCAAGCAAGCCCCGCATGGACTTGTAGGAAGTACTCCATGCCGAAAGATGCGAGCCAAAGCAAAGAAGCAGCAGCAGCTTCAAAATCAGCTGTAAACCATTAGATCCTACTCCTCGTTTACTGGTCCTGGTCCTGGTCTTTCAAGTGCTATTGGTGACAGCCCCAATAGCCATTAGACCAGTAGTTGGCGGTCACTGCTGGAGCGAAAATTAGTAATTCGAGACGGTGTCTCGGAACCTCTCGTCCGATGGAAGCGGCAGTGGAATTCTTGGGTCTCTTCCCAGAGGCCCACGCGTGGAATGTGAGCATCTTGTCTACGGACAAGAGAGCCGTCGTTTATCGACCCTCATGTTCCAGAGACTTCCTACGCCAAAACCTCCAAACTTGGTTGAGCCTTCACAATACCCATTTCTTCATTCGGCCTTTGCTTCGTACCCTGGTGTTCCTGGACCTGGACGGCTTCCCCTCGCAGCACTGGGAAGCGCTTGTGCGTCTTCAACCGCGGGCTATCGTCGAAACCTCACCGGGCAACTTGCAAGCTTGGTTTACATTAGACACAGCATCCTCAGGACCAACGGCTGTGTATGTTACCAAGGAGTTGACAAAGGCTTTGGGCGGTGATCCCGCCAGTACGGCGATGGGCCAGCAAGGCCGCATGCCTGGAAGCATCAATGTGAAGCCTGGCCGCGCGAACCATAAGGCAACTATGCTGCTGGTTGACTTGCAGTGCCTGAACGAGAAGGAATTTCTCGCGCTCACATCCGCTCCGAAGCTGGCGGTAGCTGGAGACAGAGTGGTGAGAGTACCTTCGAAGGCAGCTCACAAGGCCTCTAAGCCTGATGACAGAAGCGCAGCGGACTGGAAAACCGTTTGCAACTTCTTCGAGAGCAACCCACTGGCCACGGTTTCCGACGCGAAGGCCGCACTCCAAGGTGGGGAAATGGCAAAAACACCCGCACAAACACTGCTGACGGTAACATCGTCCATGTTTTCCGCGAGCACGAAAGGAAGAATGCGAATGATCACGTTAGTAGTGTTGCTTATGATTCTTCTAACGATGGTTGTGGTTGTACTTATGTGATGACGAACCCTTGTGAAGCAAACAATACAACAAACAAAGGACACAACCACGACCGCAGCAACGAGGAAAAACCAGGAAACAAGAAACACGCACCAGACAACACAACACAAATGTTAACATGAACCTTAACCTTAACACGAGCCTAAACGTCAAACTCAACACCAAGGTTAATATTAACAACAACATTAGCAGCAGTAGCAGCAGCAGCACCAACAGCAGTAGCAACAACAATAGAAAACAAGCCGACGAAGAAGAAGAGTAATAAGCATGATAGTAGCAAGGCGAACAAGAACAACAACAGTAGCGACACAGACAATAACGACAACAATCATGACAGCAACAAGCAGTAAGCCACGAGCAAGCACAACACAGCAATAATGTTAGCATGTGCAATAACATTAATTTTCTTTGACCTGAAACGTAAGCTTCATAAGCTTAGTCTTCACAACAGCAGCAGCAGCAGCAATACTAAGAGCAACAAGAACAGTGATAATGACAAGACTAGACTACTATAGTCAGTCGAATACTAAAACGAATACTAATAACAATAACAAGAAAAACAACAACAACAACAACAACAACAACAACAACAACAACAACAACAACAACAACAGCAACAGCAACAACAACAACAACAACAACAACAACAACCACGACGACGACGACGACAACGACAACGACAACAATAACAACAAGAAGAACAACAGCAATAATAAGAACAACAAGCTCTGTGAGGCCGCTGGCAAGCCAAACGAGCCGACCAAGAGTACTACGAAAACCTCACGTTGAAGAAGGCCTTTGAGCACTGCGGAGGCTTGCGAGACTCGCAGGCTTCTTCTTCAGGCGGCGTTGCAGAATACCAACACCAGTAGCAAACAACAACTAAGTACCTGTGTGTTTCAGCCGGTTCGCACCCATATTTCTAGTCGTAGTGGGGGAAATAGGGGTAGGGGTGGGGACAATGGTAGTGGTATTGGGAGGGTGATGCTAGTGGTGGTGGTGGTGGTAGTGGTAGTGGTAGTGGCAATGCTAGTGGTAGTTGTAGTCGTCGTAGCAGCAAATATTAATAATATGAGAAGTAATAGTACTGAGATAGACATAGAATGCAAGCGACCTCGGAGCGTCTCCGCTTCACGAGGTTTTTGTTCTAGTAGTAGACGGCGAAAAAAGTGTGCAAACGACCTCGGAGCGTCTCCGCTTCACGAGGTCGTTTGTAGTCGTAGTAGTAGTAGTAGTAGTAGTAGTAGTAGTAGTAGTAGTAGTAGCAGTAGCAGCAGCAGCAGTAGTAGTAGTAGTAGTAAGCAGCAGCACTGTAAAACTAGGAGTTGTAGAAACAGACAGACACGTTTAACAACCCCTTATGACAGGCAGCGCACGTGCCGCCGGACATAGGGAGCCGGCCCCGATCGTGGCAGCTCCAGAAGGCAACGTTATGTTTTGACCTTTATGCTTTTGTCCCTCGCAATGATAAAATTTTGTGCTACTGCTACCACCTGTCTGTCAGTGCACCCTCTGGTAGGCGACAGTTGTTCCTTTCAACTAATACTGTGCCAACATAAAAAATATTCCCTAGGAGGCAGCTCCCTGCAAGCGCAAGACGTCGAACGGATGATCGCTGCAGCAATGGAGTGCAGGTTCCCTAAGGCCGAGGTCACCAACAAGACTTGCAGCAAGTGCGAGCAAGTCCTTGCAAGGGCTATGTTCGCACCCACACAATGGGTTTCGTCCAATCCTGAGTGCAAGACCTGCCATCCAATTGACCCACAGCTTCAGAAAAAAAGCAAGGATGGCAAAGCGTGCTGTGAGTGCAAGGTTGTCAAGGACAAGGCTCAGTACAGCACCACGCAGTGGGCCTCGGGAGCAAAGGCCAAGTGCCGCGACTGCGTCGCCAAGCTGGAGCTGAGCCAGAAGACACGCTCCAAAACGTGCGTCACTTGCCACCAGGCAAAGCCCCAGAGCGCCTACAGCAAGACGCAGTGGGAGAGGCCACAGAAGCAAGGCAGCCAGTGCAAGGAGTGCTGCGCAGCTGCCCTCTCCAAACGCCACGAAGACTTCCGCGAGGAGAGCTTTAAGCGAGCGGGTTTTAAGCACTTCGGGTGGATGCTTCCAGTCTCAGGCTATTACAACAAGTAAACTAGCAAACTGATCGTTTAATACGCCAATAGTCCGTATTTCCCATTGTAGTTAGTAATAGTTGGAATTGCGGTTGCAGCTGTATTTTTGGAACTGTACTAGTGTCTGTATTTCCAGTTGTGTTCGTACTCGAACATGTATTGCGAATACTAGTATAGTTCTTCATGCACTAGTAATCGCAGTTGGGCGTGTGCTGGAATTCGGATTTGTATTTGTAGCTGTACATATACTCCTAGTTGCATTTGTACTCGCGTATTATGAAAACACTGAACGAAGCGCAGCCCTTGGGAACCGAATCTGGGCTCCAAAACAGGGTTAAGTTTTGCCCTTCAAGGAGCAGAAGCAAGTTCGGGCACCCAAGCAGGAACTACCGGTGTGGACTGGGACAGACAAGGCGAGTGCGCTCCGGCACATACTGGAAGCACCGCCACTGGCTTTGCCATCGGTGTGCCACAAGTCCTTCCAGGCCAGCACCCTGAAGTGTACAACCTCATGACCATACTGTTTACAACTAGACTTTGGAACCGAGAAAGTTTGTTTGGCATCAATGGCCTCAGTAAGGCATACTGCAATATGTCTGGGTTCAGTGTCGTGTGACAAAGGCTTTTGTTTTCAATGTCTTATGCGTCAGGCCATTTTGGCCATGCACAGTCGGGACAACTGGCACTTGCGGCCCTTCAAACCCGACGAGAGTGGCGTTACAGCGGAGACGAAGCAGAAACTCCTCGTGGAGGGCCACCGCAGTCTGAGCCATCTGGGGGGGCGCGAAGGCTTGACCGAGGCGCTGCGAACTGAAGGCCACAATTGGCTCCATCTGGACAAGGACTCTCAGTGGGTCGTCCTTCGGTGCGAGGAGTGCAGGTCGCACAGCCTTCGTGGCATGACGAAACCCGAGACCCGACATTTGCCACGACCGCTTTCGGCTGGCGATGTCATCGGCGTAGATTTGAAGAAGGTCAAGCCACCTGGTCGCGCTGATGCTTGGATCATGATGATCGCATGCGACTTTACTAGCAACAGGGTCTGGGCCTGGGACCTAGACGAGTCCGAACAGGAGCGGTTCGGGAGCACCATAGCATTCCAGAACAATATCTTAGGACACTATACTGTGGTGTAGTGTGATGTAGTAATGTGTTTTAGCGTACTGCCGCCTAATATCGAAACGTATGACACTTACGAAATATAGCGGTGGCCTGGGGTGCTTCCCGAACAGGCGCTTCCGTGGCGCATACAGTACAGGACTAGGTCTCAACACCAAAAGATCATAATGCACACCGTGCCTGAGCACTCGAATTGGATCTCGTTTGTCTGCGGCGTCCGCCTTCTCCGTCCAAACCAGCTGCAACTCGCCCTGGCTCTGCTGAAAGACCAAAACACTTACTCCTTCACAGCGGGCGAAACAAGAAATCATGTGGTATGTCGCGAATTTGTCCGGCTGGGACATGTAGTCATGGTAGGCATCCCACGACCATACCGGTGGAGCTCGCCACCCTCGGTCGTCAGTCATCTCCACCTGCAGCTGCATCTCCACTCTGCCCAACTCCTCGGCTGGTAAGCTCTGCAGCCACAACTTGGAGTGAACCAAGAGCTTGGTGCGCAAGGCTTGTGCTGTAGCAGCGTTGTCGGTGATGTGTGCTGGTGGGATGCCGCCTAAAGCATCAAGGCCCATTGCCAGCGCTCTGAAAAGGCAACTGCCGTCGGGCTTAGCGGGAAGGACCCAATACGGCCCCAAAGTCTGCAGAGAAGCCGTCAACTGCTTCGTTCGAGGCGATGGGCTTGGCACGTGCTCGTCGTCAGCGGGCATTTTCTGCGGCATGGGTTTCAACAGGCTTGCATGCTTCACGGTCCTTCTGCCAGTACCAAGTTCTTCCAGCTCGACGACTCCATGGTTGACTTTCAAAACGGTGTACTCCTGCAGGGAGCATGTCTTTGGGTTTGGGTTTGGCACCGAAAAGCTACCAACACCTCAAAAACTCCATAGCCTATGCATTCAAACTTGATTGCGCATGTACAACCTCTAGAAGACTCATGATTTTCCTTCAAGCTGGCTTTGGCACCGAAATACTGCCGCAAAAAGTGTCTACACTACACACAGTTACACTTTATTTGACACGTGTATATTCCCAAAACTCAAAAAGTCCATACAGTATGAATTCAAATTTGATTTCGCACCTAGATGTTCCGAAAAACCAGCAACATATGCAGAAAGAATCCTTTCAACAGGCACACACACTGCACACAACATGCTTGCAAACTTAGTCTTCACCCTCCCTCGAAAGAAGCCCTAGACACTATTGTTCGCCACCGCTCCCGAAGCGCACCAGTGCTGTTCGTCTCAAACTTCTGGTTTCCCACTTTGGAGACGTACTGCGTGTTCTGGCAAATGACCCGGTCTCCGCTCAGCAAGACCATGTCAGGTGCTTGAGGAGCCCTCGAATTGTAGCCAACCCTCCGTGCCATATTGTTTCTTTCGTGCTTGTCGCTTACCAGCTTTTGCAACTCCTATCAGGGAACGAGCTAGCATATCCACAGGATGAGTCTACGGTTATGCTGGGACAGTGGTTCTGCAACACCCTATCTGTGTCAAGTAATTTGAAATCTCATGTTCGGTGTCCTGCAGATTGCTGTCAAACTTGTCTGCGGCCTTGATGTAATCTTCGTTGCACAACTTTTCCGAAGCATCCAAGTAATCCTGCCACTCTTTCTCCGTAATGCCTGTCAAGGAAGAACCGGTATACTGCACTATGCGTTAAAAAAGAAAATAAGTTATTGTGCCGTTTGACTTCGGAGGCCTTCTGGAAGGGTATGTCCTGCGGCTTTGAGTGCTGCATGCTGCCACCGAGGGGTTGCAGGCTTTAACGATCTCCACAACGCTTCGGGGCTCAGACCCAAGCGACGAGTGGGTAGGGCGTTGAAGGCGGCCACTGCACTCACAAGGCGGGCGCGGTGACCGCCGGAAGCCGCGTCCAGGATCCTATTGTGGACTTCCACGAGGCCGTTGGATTGCGGTCTGCCCGGTGGTACGTGTCTGGGGGCCACTCCCAAGAGCTCCTTCACCGCAACTTCCACTACCGACCTGAATTGCCCGCCGTTATCACTGTGGATGACGAGAGGGGTCTCCACCTCGTGGAAGAACCGGTGCAGCCTTGTCTGTACCGACTGCAAGTCCTGCGTATATGAAGCAATACAGTATTATATTGAAATATTATATACCAGGCCACCGCTATATTTCGTAAGTGTCATACGTTTCGATATTAGGCAGCAGTACACTAAACTACATTACTACATCAAGCTACACTACAGTATAGTGTCCTAAGATATTGTTCTGGAATGCTCTGGTGCTCCCGAACCCGCTCCTGTTCGGACTCGTCTAGGTCCCAGGCCCAGACCCTGTTGCTAGTAAAGTCGCATGCGATCATCATGATCCAAGCATCAGCGCGACCAGGTGGCTTGACCTTCTTCAAATCTACGCCGATGACATCGCCAGCCGAAAGCGGTCGTGGCAAATGTCGGGTCTCGGGTTTCGTCATGCCACGAAGGCTGTGCGACCTGCACTCCTCGCACCGAAGGACGACCCACTGAGAGTCCTTGTCCAGATGGAGCCAATTGTGGCCTTCAGTTCGCAGCGCCTCGGTCAAGCCTTCGCGCCCCCCCAGATGGCTCAGACTGCGGTGGCCCTCCACGAGGAGTTTCTGCTTCGTCTCCGCTGTAACGCCACTCTCGTCGGGTTTGAACGGCCGCAAGTGCCAGTTGTCCCGACTGTGCATGGCCAAAATGGCCTGACGCATAAGACATTGAAAACAAAAGCCTTTGTCACACGACACTGAACCCAGACATATTACAGTATGCCTTACTGAGGCCATTGATACCAAACAACTTTCTCGGTTCCAAAGTCTAGTTGTAAACAGTATGGTCATGAGGTTGTACACTTCAGGGTGCTGGCCTGGAAGGACTTGTGGCACACCGATGGCAAAGCCAGGGGCGGTGCTTCCAGTATGTGCCGGAGCGCACTCGCTTTGTCTGTCCCAGTCCACACCGGTAGTTCCTGCTTGGGTGCCCGAACTTGTTTCTGCTCCTTGAAGGGCAAAATTTAACTCTGTTCTGGAGTCCAGATTCGGTTCCCAAGGACTGCGCTTCGTTCAGTGTTTTCATAATACGCGAGTACAAATGCAACTAGGAGTATATGTACGGCTACAGCTACAAATCCGAATACCGGTAGAAGCCCAACTGCAAAGACTAGTACATGAAGATCTACAAGTATTCGCAATTCATGTTCGAGTACGAATACAACTGGAAATACAGACACTAGTACAGTTCCAAACATACTGCTGCAGCCGCAATTCCAACTATTACTAATTACAATGGGAAATACGGACTATTGGCGTATTAAACGATCAGTTTGCTAGCTTATTTGTTGTGATCGCCTGAGACTGGAAGCATCCACCCGAAGTGCTTCAAACCCGCTCGCTTAAAGCTCTCCTCGCGGAAGTCTTCGTGGCGTTTGGAGAGGGCAGCTGCGCAGCACTCCTTGCACTGGCTGCCTTGCTTCTGTGGCCTCTCCCACTGCGTCTTGCTGTAGGCGCTCTGGGGCTTTGCCTGGTGGCAAGTGACGCACGTTTTGGAGCGTGTCTTCTGGCTCAGCTCCAGCTTGGCGACGCAGTCGCGGCACTTGGCCTTTGCTCCCGAGGCCCACTGCGTGGTGCTGTACTGAGCCTTGTCCTTGACAACCTTGCACTCACAGCACGCTTTGCCATCCTTGCTTTTTTTCTGAAGCTGTGGGTCAATTGGATGGCAGGTCTTGCACTCAGGATTGGACGAAACCCATTGTGTGGGTGCGAACATAGCCCTTGCAAGGACTTGCTCGCACTTGCTGCAAGTCTTGTTGGTGACCTCGGCCTTAGGGAACCTGCACTCCATTGCTGCAGCGATCATCCGTTCGACGTCTTGCGCTTGCAGGGAGCTGCCTCCTTTTATGTTGGCACACTATTAGTCGAAAGGAACAACTTTCGCCAACCAGAGGCTGCACTAAAATGAAAGGTGGCAACAGTAGCCCACATTTTTTCACTGGGAGGACAAAAGCTTAAAGGTCAAAACATAGCGTTGCCTTCTGGAGCTGCCACGATCGGGGCCGGCTCCCTATGTCCGGCGGCACGTGCGCTGCCTGTCATAAGGGGTTGTTAAAGGTGTCTGTCTGTTTCTACAACTCCTAGTTTTACCATTGCTGCTGCTTACTAGTACTAGTACTAGTACTAGCTACTACTACTACTACTACTACTACTACTACTACTACTACTACTACTACTACTACTACTACTACTCCTGCTACTACTACTACTACTACTACTACTACTACTACTACTACTACTACTACTACTACTACTTCTACTACTACTAACGACCTCGTGAAGCGGAGACGCTCCGAGGTTGTTTGCATACTACTACTACTACTACTACTACTACTACTACTACTACTACTACTACTACTACTACTACTACTACTACTACTATTACTACTACAAACGACCTCGTGAAGCGGAGACGCTCCGAGGTCGTTTGCATTCGGCGACTACTACGAGGACGACGATATTGATACTACTACTTCTTCTTTTCGCTACTATTTGCTGCGACGACGACTGCAACTGCCAAAACCCCTGCCACTACCACTAACTTTGCCACCACCACCACCACCACCACCACTTCCACTACTAAGATCACCATCCCACTACCACTACCGATACTGCTACCACTCAAGTGTCCCTACCCCTAGCCATACTGCTTACCCCCACCACGACAACCCCATGAGTACTTAGTTATTGCTACTGGCGCTGGTATTGTGCAATGCCGCCTGAAGAAGAAGCTTGTGAGTCTCGCAAGGATCCACAGTGCTCGAAGGCCTTCTTCAAAGTGAGGTTTTCGTAGTACTCTTGGTCGGCCCGTTTGGCTTGCCAGCGGCCTCACAGGGCTGGTTGTTGCGGTTGTTGATTGTTGTTGTTCTTGTTGTTGTGGTTGTTGCTTGTTTGTTGTGGTTGTTTTTGCTGTGATCATTTTTGGTGCTGTTGTTGTTGCTGTTGTTGCTGCTGATGCTGCTCTTGTTGCTGTTTGGTTGTTGTTGTTGTTGTTGTTGCTGGTGTTGTTGTTGGTGGTGGTGGTGTTGTTGTTCTTATTGTTGCTGTTGTTGTTGTTGTTGCTGGTGTTGGTGGTGGTGCTGGTGTTGTTCTTGTTGTTGCTGTTGTTGTTGGTGGTCGTGCTGTTGATATTCTGGTTGTGGTTGTTGCTGCTGCTATCATGATTGTGTTTGCTGTTATTGTTGTTGTTGTTGTTGTTGTTGTTTGCTGTTGTCATTATTGTTGTTGCTGCTGCTGTAGCAGCAGTAGTAGTAGTAGTAGTAGTAGTAGTAGTAGCAGTAGTAGTAGTAGTAGTAGTAGTAGTAGTTGTCGTCGTAGTAGTAGTAGTTGTTGTTGTTGTTGTTGCCTGTTGTTGCCGTCGTGCAGTTGTTTGGCGTTGATTGATCATTTTGGGTTGTTTGTTCTTGTTCGTTTCTTTGTCTGTTGTATTGTCTGCTTCACAAGGGTTCGTCACCACATAAGTACAACCATAACAATCGTTAGAAGGATCATAAGCAACACTACTAACATGATCATTCGCATTCTTCCTTTCGTGCTCACGGAAAGGAAGAAAAATGTTACCGTCAGCAGTGTTGTGCGGGTGTTTTTGCAATTTCCCCACCTTGGAGTGCGGCCTTCGCGTCGGAAACCGTGGCCAGTGGGTTGCTCTCGAAGAAGTTGCAAGCGGTTTTCCAGTCCGCTGCGCTTCTGTCATCAGGCTTAGAGGCCTTGTGAGCTGCCTTCGAAGGTACTCTCACCACTCTGTCTCCAGCTACCGCCAGCTTCGGAGCGGATGTGAGCGCGAGAAATTCCTTCTCGTTCAGGCACTGCAAGTCAACCAGCAGCATAGTTGCCTTATGGTTCGCGCGGCCAGGCTTCACATTGATGCTTCCAGGCATGCGGCCTTGCTGGCCCATCGCCGTACTGGCGGGATCACCGCCCAAAGCCTTTGTCAACTCCTTGGTAACATACACAACCGTTGGTCCTGAGGATGCTGTGTCTAATGTAAACCAAGCTTGCAAGTTGCCCGGTGAGGTTTCGACGATAGCCCGCGGTTGAAGACGCACAAGCGCTTCCCAGTGCTGCGAGGGGAAGCCGTCCAGGTCCAGGAACACCAGGGTACGAAGCAAAGGCCGAATGAAGAAATGGGTATTGTGAAGGCTCAACCAAGTTTGGAGGTTTTGGCGTAGGAAGTCTCTGGAACATGAGGGTCGATAAACGACGGCTCTCTTGTCCGTAGACAAGATGCTCACATTCCACGCGTGGGCCTCTGGGAAGAGACCCAAGAATTCCACTGCCGCTTCCATCGGACGAGAGGTTCCGAGACACCGTCTCGAATTACGAATTGGAGTACGCAGTGAGTGTAACACAATGACCTCTTGTCACGACTAATGACTCAACTGCCGAAGCTTTAAGACCACTTGTTCTGATCTTCTCCACTACCATGCATGTCTACACCTGCGTTCACTATGGTCGTGCGGCCGGCATCCACCGTTCTGGGGCGGGCACGTGTGGGTCGGGGCGTAGGGGGCGTGGCGGCAGGACCACAGGGTGGGGGGGGGGGGGGGATACCATGGGGGGGGGGGGGGGGGGGGTGGGGGCCCGGGACCCGAGAGCATATATATGTGTGTGTGTGTGTATATATATATACCTACATATACAAACATACATCGCACTCTAAACTCTAGAAGGACTAGGTGTCCCAATTTCAAAAACAAGACCCTTTCTTGCTACCGACCCCTGTAACAATAGGTACGTACCCCCCCAGATTCAGTTTGGAAGTAAGGGCTGCCCACTTTGAACAGCTGACGGTATAAATCCTGCATTACCCATAAGGAGTATACCATAATTCCCATAGTTTAGGGTCCTTAAGGTAATGCAGGATTTATACACCCCAAACCCTAAAACCCTATATCCCTTAAAAGAACCCTTATAGATCCCTTTAAAGGAACCCTAGGATTTCTATCATCAACCGAAGTAGGGGCCTCCGAAGATGAAGATGACGAAGCGGAGCTCGGGCTGGAGCCACCTTCTCAGAGAAAGTTGGGGTTTGGGGCTTAGGAGTTTCGGATTGCAAGGAAGGTGAAGGGTTGTGGAGCTCTATTCTACTGTGCGTGTTTAATTATGACTGAAGGTTTTTGTTGGTCCCTACCATGTTTCTCCATCATCATAAGACCAATGCTGATAGGCCAAAAGCCATCCTTTCGCCTGAGTGATGCTGTCGTCGGCACCGCTACCTTGTGTGGTGATGATGTGGATGAAGGTGATGGTGATGATGTTCCTGATGCGATGACGATGATCATGTTGAAGAAGAAGATGATGACGATGATTAAGCTGATGAAGGAGGAGGAAGGAGGAGCAGGTCTTGATCATTACGGTACTCCTCAGCATGATGCTCAGCAACGGTATCGTCCTCGTCATATGATGTACTGACCCTGGCCATCTGAACTGCAACATGCTGTGATCCCAAGGTCAGGAGTGTTATGATGGTGATCATGATGATGCTTGTGACGATGATGGTGATGGGAAGGGAGCCATCAGTAATTGTCGCCGTCCGTCGGCAGCAGCTTCGAGTCAAATCCAGAAACCGAACATGAGACTTACACAAGCGCCCAGAACCGACCGTGACTATAGAGCGTCCTGCCTCTACTGCCGGTTTGCAG